TACACCAACATTCAATGGGGAAGGAATGAGAAATTCAGCTCAGGTCACATTCAAAGGCAGACTTGCCTAAATCACCATTTCCAAAACAGTATGCAAACTCATCCTTGGAAATGCATACTTTTCTGAATTTTGCAATGCAGTTCTCCAGTCAAGTAACATGTGCAAAACTGCATATACAACGTGTATACAAATGCATACGTTAATGAAAATAACAGAAAAATGCATCATATTGGGCAATGTTGCATGTCCAGATGCATGTATTAGGAGAAAACAGCACTAAATACTGATGAATTTTCAGAAGGATTATATGCATATGTGATGTGGAAATGTGGAGAACTGAACACAAGATTGAAAAAAATGAGAAACAAAGAGAAACTGATATTGAGAGATGCACCTCCTCCTCACACAACCAGTTGCCAGGGCACTTTACCAAAGTTAGAGTTAAAATGCAACCAAGTATCAGCAAACTACATCTGACCACCCAGCTCTGATCCATAGCAGGGTGGGAGCTCAGACTCCCCTTCTCCCTTTTCTGCAAGATGGGCAGAGGTGAAGCCAGGGAGCACCAGCCCCTCTGGCACTCTGTCCTTTGCGCCAAAGCCTGCCCACATCTGGGTGGGTCTTGAAGCTCAGGAGGAACAGAGGGAAGGAAAGCACCACTCATTGCCAGTGGACTCTGGCCTGAGCAGAGCCCAACTGCCCCCAAACACTCTGTGTGGGTCCTTCAAACACTGTCCCAGTTTGGACATCACACTAAACTACGGTTGACAAGAATGAGCCAGGTTCAGGAACGGACAAATCTATCAGTTTTGGTTTCTAATATTTCTAGTCTTAAGTTTGCTTCACTCCATTTCCTGCAGACATTTGCAAAAGAATGGTTTGTTTAAAGAAGCCTGATTGATATGAAGAACAAACAAGCCATATGAACAAACCATACTTAATGTGAACCACAGTTTAGGGTTTGGGCAACACGCTAAACAGTGGCTGGTGGAAAGTCAAAGCAAAAGCTTCTGAACTCCTCCTCTCACCCTCATCAGAAGGATGGGGTAATATGGAAGATCATGTAGTGCATGTTTGCAGTGGCTCATTCTTAACATGTTAAGCTGCATTTCATGGTGATGTACAAATGCAGCTGTGCACCCCTCAATCGCACCTACTACAGACATTTTGTGCATGCTTTCAAAAGAGCGATAGGTTGTGTCATGACCCCATCCTCAAGGTCCCAGTGTTAATTTTGAGGAGGACTCTGGTTCAAATAATGCACGTCACCCCACTTGAGGAGTAGCCCTCAGCACTGCCTGCTGCACTGCCCTGGCCTGAGGATGTGGTGCAGGCATAGGCAAACTCGGCCCTCCAGATGTTTTGGGACCACAACTCCCATGATCCCTAGCTAACAGGCCAGTGGTTAGGGATGATGGGAATTGTAGTCCCAAAACATCTGGAGGACCGAGTTTGCCTATACCTGATGTGGTGGCTCTCCCATCATACTCAGAGTCTGATTCTCCTGCAGGCTCCCTGCTACAACCACATGAAACTGCAGAATAAGCTACATAACATTGACATATTGCAAACAGTACTCCGGTGGGGGGGGGAGGCATAATCACTGGAAGGTCAAGGCTTTATAGCCTTTTGAAGGCATCAGATGACTCCAATCCTTTGCTAAGACAACATCTTCCCTGACTCACTAGGAGCTCTCCCGGGTCCTTATGCTCTTTACTCACCGGAACTGTCCAAGGTCCTGATCTGCCCTGCCCTAGTCTCTGGTCCTATTCACCCATTTCCCCTGCATTCCCCTGGGACACAGCAGAACAGGATAGGTTTCTCCACCCCTGCAACAATCCATCCGCAATGCCGGCATGGTTATGGGAGCTGGAGTGAGATGCGTAAGCAGAAGAGAGGGAGCTGTTCACATCCCCCCTGGTGCTCGTCCCACTTTGATGCTCTCCAAAGCCAATTATCACAGGCTTTTTGTAACCTACATCCAGAAACCACAAGGTACCCAGCAGTTTCAAGGCACCATCATGTGACCAGGATGGAAGTCCTAATGAGGCACCAGACATTTCAAGGTTACTACATCTGGAGCAGCGACAGCAAGAAAGGGGTCTCTTCAAGGAAGCTGCCTTGCATCCCTTTCCATCTCTCATGATGGGGAAAGCAGGATTCTTTGGAAGACAGAGAAGGGAGCTCAGTGGTAGAGCAGTGAAACCCTGGAGTGCTGCTGCCAGTCAGTGTAGACAATACTAGGCTACATGGGCCAATGGTCTGAGCCAATATGAGGCAGTTTCCTTTATTCTTAATCTACTGCCCATTCTCAACAATGAAACTTTCCTATAGGCATTGGGCTGCAGTCACAGTCTTGCTCACGGTCACAGCCCTCAAATCCATAGCACAAACAACAGGATATACAGTGGTACCTCATGTTAAGTACTTAATTCATTCCGGAGGTCCATTCTTAATTCGTTCCGGAGGTCCGTTCTTAACCTGAAACTGTTCTTAACCTGAAGCACCACTTTAGCTAATGGGGCCTCCTGCTGCCACCGCGCCGCCGGAGCACGATTTCTGTTCTTATCCTGAAGCAAAGTTCTTAACCTGAAGCACTATTTCTGGGTTAGTGGAGTCTGTAACCTGAAGCGTATGTAACCTGAAGCGTATGTAACCTGAAGCATATGTAACCTGAAGTGTATGTAACCCGAGGTACCACTGTACATCAGATACAAACACAGGACCAGATTTTGCAGCAGAATCCAGAGGCGAATCCTGTCCCCATATTCACTTTGACAACACATAAGAAATAAGAAAAGCCAGTTAGATCAAGCCAGTGGCCCATCTAGTCTTGCATCCTGTTCCCGCAGGAGCCAACCAGATGGGCCAGTGGGAAGCCAACAAAGATCTGAGCACAAGCACAACTCTCCCCTCCTGGAGTTTCCAGCAACTGGGATTCAGAGGCATTGCCCCCTCTGACCATAGAGGCTATAGTCTAAACCCCCATGAATTTGTCTAATCCTTTGTTGAAGTCATCCAAGTTGATGGTCATCACTTTTTCCTGTGGCAGCGAGTTCCACAGTTTAACTCTGTGCTGTGTGAAGAAGTCCTTTCTTTTATCTGTCCCACATTCAGTTTTGTTGGATGTCCATGAAGTCTAGTGCCATGCATCATTTTAGAATAATTTATCATGTCACCTCTGACTCATCTTTTTTTTCCTAACTAAAAAGTCTCAAATGCTGCAACCTTTCTTCATAGGGGAGTCATTTTGATTGCCCTTCTCTGAACCTTTTCCAACTCCACAATATCCTTTTTGAGATGAAGTGACAAGAAACTATACACAGTATTTCAAATGCTGTTGCACCATAGATTTGTATAGCAGCATTATGATATTGGCAGTTTTATTTCCAATTTCTTTCCTAGTGATTCCTTGCATGGAATTTGCCTTTCTCACAGCTGCTGCACACAAGGTTGACATCTTCATCGAACTATCCACAAAGGTCTTGTTCCTGGCCAGTCACACCAGTTCAGACCCCATGAGCATGAAATTAAGATTTTTTTGCCCCAGCATGCATCACTTTATACTTGTTTATATTGGATTGCCTTTGCCATTTTACCACTCACTACAGAGGTCCTTTGGAGAGGTCCTTTTGGAGCTCTTCACAATCTCTTTTTGTATTACAGTATTAGATTCTGTTCTCTGAGCAGGGCGTTTTTTGTGCTTACCCCAATGAAGATAGCACTTTGCTCATGCTCAGAGGCATCCTTTACCAATGGAGGGGGGAGGAATATAAATTGGAGAAACAGGGTTTTAATTGATCAGTCACTAGATGGCTCTTCTGTTACTCTTAAGTGATGATTGATTCACTGGGACTACTCTGAATGTGACTGAGGTTGGAGATACCCCTTGGAGTTTTTAAATCATTAGTTTGTGATCAGATGGAGGCCTTCCAGTCTTCAAGCCAAATGTGTCTCTTCAGAATACTTTCTGGCCCCCAAGGCTCTCCCCAGGATACACCCCTTGCTGGCCTTGCTCCACACACTCCTCAGGTGTTTTTGCCCGGCTGGAATGTGTCCATGAACTGCGTGATGCCTCTTGCTTTCCTGAATTGGAGAGGCAGGAGAGTGCGTAAACTTTTGACTTTTGCACAGCTGGAGTGGAGACTCCTGTGCAAAGAAAAGAGCCACATCTGCTGCTCCACCCATCCTTGCATCTGGCCACATCTAATTTTTGCCCCTGCCCCTGCCCCCTGCTGGTATGCAGCCCCTGAGATGTTGCCTATGTGGGAGGGTGGTCCTCAGACTGAACAATCTTCCCTGGTTCAGTAACTGTACCCATGAAGGGTGGCTTGTAATAAATACCATATTTTTCGCTCCATAAGACGCACTTTTTTCCTCCTAAAAAGTAAGGGGAAACGTCTGTGCGTCTTATGGAGTGAATGTGTGCCCAATCGCTGGCTCCCTTTCTGGCCCCGCCCCTTTGCCCAGGCCTCCATTGTTGAATGTTCTGCAGACAGAGGCTGTTTGTTTCCCCAGAGACATGTGACTGGCTGATTAGATTATCTGTCTGGAAACTGTAGAAATGGCTCCCTTTCCTTTCCTAAAGAAGCTGCAGAACTGCGAGTTGAACCCCATAAAAACAGGATTTTTTCCCTTTGCAAAGTAAGCTCAACAACTTTGAGCTAATCCTCAAAAAAAGCAGCTTTTCTCCTTTGCAAAAGAAGCTGTACAACTGTGAGCTGATTTCCCCCCCCCCAAAAAAATGGGGCTTTCCCCCTTTCCTCCTCTAAAAACTAGGTGCGTCTTATGGAGTGAAAAATACGGTATTTTTAACCATAAACAAACACACACACAAATGAATCACTGCTGGGGTGTACCCACAACTGTGAGGCTTGAAGAGGTTCTGATGATGCACCCTACTCTGTGACCATTGGCTGAGGACTGACTGTGATGTCACAAAGGCACATGTCTGCTGAGTGGATATAAAGGTGGGGCTTTTTCCTCTTCTCCAGCAGAACACACTGGGCAGCAGTTGTGATATTCAGCATTCCCCAGTCTTCTTCCACTTGGAGGAGACAAATTGGCAGGTGAGTGGCAGATGTTATGAAGGATGCTGCAGGAGCATATGGAACGATAACAAGGCAAGTTTACTTCCTAAGAGGGATTGGCTGATATCCATGATCTGAAGTTGGCTGATGTGTGGTGATGGACCTAGTGGAAGTTGGCAGATGTTTGGTGGGTGGAAGCCAGTGGGGTTCTCATTCGGAAGCAAGGCTGAATGGAGAGTGAAAGATGAGCAAATGGCTTTCTTCATGGATGTCGGCTGGCCGTGTGTTTGTGTCTGTGAATGGGAGGTTTTGAATGTGGTTGAGACACATGGTGTGTATAAGCGTGTAAATGGGATGTGCGAAAGGTGACTGGTGGATATTCATGAATAGAAGGAACTTTTGGCACTGGGCAGGCTGACGTTAGAGATTCAGTTTTCAGGCTGAAGCCAGTGGAGGTGCCCGGATGATGCTGTCGGATGGTAGCCATTCCCCACCACCATCTGTTTCTCCTGCCCCAGGGACGTCTGATGCTGGTGAGCTTTTCCCAAGACTGTGCATGAAAGCATGGAAGGAGGCCATGGGCTGGCTGAAGCCAACAAGGCTTTCTCAAGACATTCCCGTCCCTTTAGAAAGCATGCCAACTTATAGTTCCAAATAAGTGTTTTTCAAAATACATCCAAGTGTAATGTCTATTCTGTCTGAGTTATATGATATACCCCTCCCTGGTGTTAGCATACACGAAAGGAAAAATTTTTAATAAGTGAGTTGCTGGTGAGATGCCCCCACAATGTCAGGCCTGGGGAGGGTGAACTGTTGCCGTTAGCTAGAGATGGTCTGTGACATCACAAAAGGACATGGCAACATCATTCCATGTCCTAAGAGCATCTTCAGCTGCAGTATCCAGGGTTCATATATTTGTTCATCTTCCAACATGTTATATGCCGTTATCTGCCACCAATGTCCTTCTGGCTTCTACGTAGGACAAACAGTCTCCATGTGGAAGAATTAACAGGCACGAATCTGACATTAGAAAGGGCAACTTTCAAAAGCTAGTGAGGGAACGTCTCCATCTCCCAGGATACTCCACGGCTGATCTAAAAGCTGTATCTCCCAAGACACTCAGCTGCATTGATCTAAAAGATTTTCTGACAAAGGAATTTCAAAGGGAGACTGCAGTGTGAAATTTCAGAATTACAGCTCATCGGGACTTTTTAGTCTACACCTTGGGGAGGAACAAAGAGAATGTTTCTCTTTCCCACTAACACATCTTGCCCCAGAGATGCTGTTGTGCTGTCACCCAAAAACGCTGCCATGAGAGGTCTCCGCCCCTCATTCTCCATACATTTAAGATCCAATTGAATTGTCACCACCTGTATTTTTTCATTTACAGTGGTACCTCGGGTTACATACACTTCAGGTTACATACGCTTCAGGTTACAGACTGCGCTAACCCAGAAATAGTACCTTGGGTTAAGAACTTTGCTTCAGGATGAGAACAGAAATCGTGCTCTGGCAGCGCTGCGGCAGCTGGAGGTCCCATTAGCTAAAGTGGTGCTTCAGGTTAAGAACAGTTTCAGGTTAAGAACGGACCTCCGGAACGAATTAAGTACTTAACCCGAGGTACCACTGTATTTGAAATATAAACAGCTAAGCATTACAAAACACCATAGTGATGGACAGCAGCAATTAAAACACAACAAATAAGAGCAATTCTCCAAAGAGGAATAAGATTTCTTCACCATCCATTTCCTGCTGACGCTGCTAGAGTGTAAGACTGGGGAACCAGGGTTCAAATTCCCACTCAACCAGGAAGCTCACTGGCTCCTCTTAGGCCACAGTCACTATATCTCTGCCTAACCTACCTCACATTTGGAACACAAATGCAGCAAATAAAATGAACAGATCTCCTCCACATACATACTATACACCATTTCTGTTTTGAAAGAAAGAACATAAGCAGAGCCCTAATATATGCATCTATGTAGACATTGTTTGGTTGGAGAGCTGGATCACAAAATTCAGAAAAGTGCCAAATGTTGACAGATAACTGTTTTTCAGATCTCATATTGTTTCAGAATGTGCTGATCTGATGTGCCTTTAAATGAGAACTGAGCAAGACTTATCCCCTACCTGTACTCGCTAGATCAGTGGTTTCCCAAAAATTTAAAAATAAAAATTGGGGCCACTACCCCTTCGTTCCATAAATTCACCCCCAGTACCCCCTACCCCACCCTATAAAAAACAATATTCAAAATAGCAGTTTGTACAACCCTCTAAAGAATATAATAACAGAATAAAAATTAAGACAGCAATTAATTGCACATTTGTTGATAATCCAGTTACAGTGGTATCTCGGGTTACATACGCTTCAGGTTATATACGCTTCAGGTTACAGACTCTGCTAACCCAGAAATAGTGCTTCAGGTTAAGAACTTTGCTTCAGGATGAGAACAGAAATTGTGCTCCAGCAGCGCGGCAGCAGCAGGAGGCCCCATTAGCTAAAGTGGTGCTTCAGGTTAAGAACAGTTTCAGGTTAATGAATTAAGTACTTAACCCGAGGTACCACTGTATAGCCATTTAGTTTAATTAATTCAGCAAAATGGATAAACTTGATCCAGTGATCCCAGCTTTTCAAAGCCTGATAGTCCTTTGCACCTCCAACACCCCCTTGCCGCCTGCTTGCCTCTTTGCAACCGAATAGGCAATCCCACTGCCCCCCAGGAGGGTGGTACTTTGGGAACCACTGCTCTAGATGATCTGGACCACAATTCCTTTCATTCCTGTGCTGGCTGGGGCTGATGGGACTTGTAGTCCAAATTCTGCCGAAGGCTCCTGTTTCAAAGACAGCCTTACCTTCTTGCTGAACTCATGCGCCTTCTGCCTCCGCTCTTGATGGATGGCGTCAGCGCTTTGGACAAACTCCCGCACGCTGCTGCTGGCCCACTTCTGCTGCCGCCCGAGGCGCAGGAGCCCCAACCTGAGGCCCTTTCCCTGGCACGCCTGGATCATGACAGCCGCCTCTTCATAGAGCTTAACTGGGGTCCCGTTGATCTCCAGGATGTAGTCTCCAGCTTTGACCCCGCATTCGGAGGCTGGCGAGGCAGGATCCACGCTCCCCACTTGCAAGGGGCATCCTCCCTCGCACGCCAGAGTGAAGCCAAAGCGCCCCTCTTGGCCCGGCTTGAGTTCCACCTGCTGGATGCGCGAGACCACCCCAATGCTGGGGGGCACGTTCTCGCACTGCCTCGCCAGGGCAACCAGCGCCTCAGCGTTCATGGAGGAGACGTGCTGGCCTTCAATCTCCAGGATCTGGTCTCCCAGCTGGAGGCCGGCCAGCTGGGCGCTGCTCCCTTCTTCCACTGCCAAGATGTAGCAAGGGCCATTCCCGCTGATCTTGAACCCAAATTCCTCAGGCCACCCATCATTGGTAGTTGGCATGGCGGTGACTGGGGAAAAGGAGAGCACGGAAAGGTCAGCCGCTGAATCTGGTTCCCTCATGGAAAGAACAGTTCCTTGATTCAGGCCACGTTCCCACCAGACGTCTAAAGCACTAGGACAGCAGTTTAAACAGTTGTGGTCCCCCCCCCCCAAAAAAAAATCTGGCAGGAGAGAGTTATTAGAAGACCCATTTTCCCCTCACAGAGTTTCCTGTGAAGAAGGGTTAACAGATAAACCCATCTGGGAACTGCAGTCCCATGAGTGGAATAAGAGCCTCCTAACAATTAGCACCCTTAACAAAAGACAGCTCCCAGGTTGCTAATCTGTTAAGGGTGCTATTAGGAGTGTTAGGAGACCCCTTGACCTCCACCCCCGCCGCCGCCCAGTTTCCACTCCCAGAGTGGTTTAACAGTCAATCCCTCTTCCTAGGAAACTCTGGTAATTGTGGCCCTGTGAAGGGAATAGGACCCTCCTAACAACTCCCAGCACCCTTGACAAGCTACAGCTCCCAGAATTCTTTGGGTGGGAAGCCATGACTGTTTAAAGAGGCATCACAGTACTGTACCTCTCAGATGTATGGTGTGAATGTGGTCTTAATCAAGTTCTTTCCAACCATATGCACAATTTCAAACACAAATACCAACATTTGTGTGATCAACCACTCCTTTGAGAACTTTCCCGAGAGGACAACATGATAGTCTCTTCCAACAACATTAAAAAAAAAAGTAGTTCTATGGCTTTTGAAAGACTAGCGATTTATTTATTTTGGCCTAAGCTTTTGTGGCCTCGAGCCTACTTTGTCAGAGATATGAAGTAAATTTGCCATTGGACCTCATTGCCATTCAACTCCCAACTTACAATTAGATGTTCAGTTGCCTGGCTGTCTGTTCCTTATTTATCCTAAATGGGATCAGACCTATGGGAGGGGCTGTAGCTCCTTGACAGAGCATCTGCTTTGGAGACTAAAGGTCCCAGGTCCAATCCCTGGTGGCAGTTCCATGTAGGGCATATCCTCCAACATTTATCTGATGGAAATAAGGACATCCCCTTCCATAATTATAATTTTACTATTTATACCCCACACATCCTACTTGGTTGCCCCAGCCACTCTGGGCAGCTTCCAACATATTTAAAAACATATACTTTTATATTTTATTTTAAAAAATTCCCTATACAGAATTGCCTTCAGATGGCTCAGGGGTCAGATAACACCATACCCTCCAACATTTCTCCAACGAAAACAGAGACATCCTAAGGAAAAGTGGGACATTCTGGGATCAAATCAGAAACCAGGCTTCTCTAAATCAGGGAGGTCCCTGGAAAATAGGCACACTTGGAGCATCTGGCAGGGCTGGGAGAGATCCCTGCCTGAAACCCTGGAGAGCCACTGCCAGTCAGTGTAGGCATTACTGAGCTAGATGGACCAGGGATCTGATTATTATTATTATTATTATTATTTTAAGAAGGGCTGTGATTCAGAACACCTGCTTTGCATGCAGAAGGTCCCAGGCTCAATCCTCAATGGCATCTCCAGGTACAACTGGGAGAGAAACCCCTGCTTCAAACCCTGGCAAGCTACTGCCAGTCAGTGCAGTCAATACTAAACTAGATGGATCACTGGTCTCAGAGTAAGGCAGCTTCCTATGTACATCCCATTCTGGACAACAATATTCCCTTTCATTCATATATATATATATATATATATATCCCAACTTTCCTCTCCAAGGGAGGCAAACACACAACGGATTAAACAAAATGTCTAAAAACAATTCCAGAACAGGTGCAGTCTGGGTGGGCCTGATCTTGCTGACAGACACAGCCCCCTCAACTAAAGCGGCTACTCACAGACAATGGAAATGCACAACAGAGACACAGACACAGGGTCCAGGTTCTGCAGGAGGGATCAGACTCAAACACTGTCCCTGGATATCCTTTCTGTATATACCTCCTGCACACTCACCTGACTGGCCCTTACTTTGGCCCTGACAATGGGGCAGCATCCTCCAGCAGGGCAGTTGTGTCAGGGGGTGTGAAGCTCAGGACAGGCCATACACAGAGGAAAATGGCGGAGGAGCTCAGTGAGGTTGCCCCCCACCCCGGTGACAGCTGCCTGAAGAAGCCACCTCGTTCCTCCACTCCTGGGTCTTAAGTAAAGACTTACAGAAATTGCAGGCCATTAGGATCTGGCTGAGGTCTTGCGAAGAAGGCCGCCGTCATTTCTCCGCGGGGTCTGGAGTTTTGTGGTTCTCTTCAGCTTGGGAAGCTGCTTCCCCTACCCGAAAGCTTCACTTGCCACGGAAAATGGAGGACTTGGGTACAAGACTCTCCCAAGCCCACAGTGCTGACCAGGCCACGTTCTTGAGAATGTGGAAGGCCAAGTCACTCGAGAAGTTCACCCAACCTGGGTTGGAGCTTTTACCTTCCCATTCCCTCCAGCTAGGAAGATGTGACTGAGCTCCAGCACAGCTGAGCCCTACTCCTTCCCTCCATTGTCTCCCCACTTGCTGCTTTTTTTGGGGGGTGGGAGAATATTACGACCAAGTGGGTAGATGGATCGACTAAGTCAAACCCAGACAATGACCATGTCTTCTTGTCTCTGAGGCCTCTGAGGGGAATTAGAACCAGTCAAGAGCTAAACTGGATTAGAGGCCCAGTCTGGGTGTTGTGTGAGCAAATTGAAGTCGACGCTAATGCAACAGCAGACAAGGCTCACGTGGGTTGAGACAGGAGGACAGCGGCAGTTTGCTTTGGAAGGAGGTAGGGAGATGCCATCACAAAGAAGATATGCCTTGAACTGTGCCATAGCATCAGCCCATCTAGCTAAGGCTACCAGACCTTTATTCAAAACCATGAGGACTGAAACCACAGCACCTGATTTACATGTAGAAGCTCCCGGGTTGAGAGACAGGACTCGGAATGTCCCTTGCCTGAAACCCTGGAGGGCAGTTGCCAGTCATTGTGTAGGCCGTGGGTAGGCAAACCAAGGCCCGGGGGCTGGATCAGGCCCAATCGCCTTCTAAATCCGGCCCACGGGTGGTCCGGGAATCAGTGTGTTTTTACATGAGTAGAATGTGTCCTTTTATTTCAAATGCATCTCTGGGTTATTTGTGGGGCATAGGAATTTGTTCATTCCCCCCCAAATATAGTCCGGCCCCCCACAAGGTCTGAAGGACAGTGGACCGGCCCCCTGCTGAAAAAGTTTGCTGACCTCTGGTGTAGGCAATATTGAGTCTGATGGACTTGGAATAAGAGGACATGAATCTTTTTCTAAGAGCTCTGCGTGCTTCTAAGTGGATGATGCGTTTGTGGGGAACTGAATTGGGTGGGAAGGGGGCAATGGTCTGGGTTACTGGGTTGAATATTAATTTGAAGTAAGATATTCATGTAACTGAACTTTATCTAGAGAAAAATTGGAGGGCAATGAAAGTGGGTAAATGGAGGGGAAATGAAGTGATTTGGGGCAGGCTCTGTTGGAGAATTAATATGTGAGTAAATTGAAGAGGAACTGATTTGGGGTGCAAGTTAACTGAAGAATCTATCAAGGGAGAGATGGAGGGGCACTAATTGACTTGCCTTCTGTGGCACTGAAATTCTAAAATTTGCATCTACACCTATTAATTGTTGTTTAGTCGTTTAGTCGTGTCCGACTCTTCGTGACCCCATGGACCAGAGCACGCCAGGCACTCCTGTCTTCCACTGCCTCCCGCAGTTTGATCAAACTCATGATGGTAGCTTCAAGAACACCATCCAACCATCTCATTCTCCGTCGTCCCCTTCTCCTTGTGCCCTCCATCTTTCCCAACATCAGGGTCTTTTCCAGGGACTCTTCTCTTCTCATGAGGTGGCCAAAGTATTGGAGCCTCAGCTTCAGGATCTGTCCTTCCAGTGAGCACTCAGGGCTGATTTCCTTCAGAATGGAGAGGTTTGATCTTCTTGCAGTCCATGGGACTCTCAAGAGTCTCCTGCAGCACCATAATTCAAAAGCATCAATTCTTCGGCGATCAGCCTTCTTTCTGGTCCAGCTCTCACTTCCATACATCACTACTGGGAAAACCATGGCTTTTACTATACGGACCTTTGTTGGCAAGGTGATGTCTCTGCTTTTTAAGATGTTGTCTAGGTTTGCCATCGCCTTTCTCCCAAGGAGCAGGCGTCTTTTAATTTCGTGACTGCTGTCACCATCTGCAGTGATCCACCTATTAATTAGCATATGTAAATTTTGTTTCTAGGCCCCAGATTTTTAAAGCACCTAACAATGCCACACCACAAGGATTCCATTTTAGCTGCACTATTGCACATATCAATTAGAGCTACATGCACCCATAAAGCATGTTTATTTATTTCATAAAATTTATACACTAGATTGTAAAAGGCAAAAAAAAAAAAATCAACATGGTTTACAAAAAAAGATAAAACATCAATAAGAAGTTAAAATAACAATAAACTGAAAACAGATGAAAACTTGCTTCAACTTTCTAAACATCTGGGTAGGCTTGTCTAAACAAAAATATTTTTTTAGCAAGGGTACAGTGAAGGCACCTGCCTGATATCAACTGGCAGGGAGTTCCAATGTGTAGGTGCTGCCACACTAAAAGGAGAAGTTCTCACAAATAAGGAATGGGTATGTGGTGGCACCTGTGGACAGTGCCAGTTCTGCACTGCTGGGGGGGGGAGGGAAAAAGAGAGAGAGAGAGAGAGAGAAGGTAGGGCCTGCCTGCTCCACTTCTCCCTGGGTGTCAAAGCTTCAGCCACTAATTGCTGCATCCTGCTAATGCCTCAGAAATGTGTTGTGCTAATTTTCAGGGCTATTCTAATAGCACACACATACACCCCCACATCTCCACCCTGACACAACTGAAAAGATGCAGCTTGCAGACTGTGATGGGTTTGTTATTTTTAAAAAGCTGTCGTTAGTCAAAAACATTTGCTTCCTTTTGCAAGAGCTCCTTTGACAATAATTTAAGAAGTCTTCAGTGTTCATTCACCCTGATCCCCTTTCCCTTCCTCCATATGAATGCATGTCAAGCAACGCTTACCTCTCTTGCGCAGGGCCTAGCCTGCACCAGTAGCACAGAATGAGGACCTGTTACCCAGCTAAACCATCCCGGCAGTTTCAGCACTTCTGGATCAATTTCAGACCTGTGGGGCAAGCGCCTGAGTTTCTATGGCAAACTCTATCCAGGCACGGTAACCTAATAGGACAGTCATTAGCAGGCTGACCTTGGCGGGGAGCGAAGGAGTGCAAACGTCTGGGAGAGAGGCAGCTTCTCTGCAGCTACAGAGGCAACTAGGGAATTTCCCAGCTCTCAAAAGATTTAAGCAGCTTAGAGCTGTTAGGGAAATTACAGGGGGGAGCACATCTTTAAAGTTATTAAATGTTACAAATACTATGCCTGAATGTATCCTTTCGACTTGACAGCTCAGGGAAGATACCTAGCTTTATAAATCATATAAAATCAACCCCTTGAAGACATGTGTACACACCTCCTACCCCAGGAAATGCCCAGAGGTGACAATTGCTGGGCTCATTGTTCTCCAAGGGAAGCCATATCTCATCACCAGACTTGCCTCAGGCTCCAGACATGCAAAGGAAGTTCTGTTGCCTATGCTATTCATGTGTAACCTTCCCGTTTTGTGACATATTAGTGATGTATCAATGATATATTGATGATGCTGTGCGAACTGTATTCTGGGATATGGTGGGAATATTTTAAAAGTCAATGTCGCCTCATGCTCTGGGTTCACTCGCTGCTGTTGAACCTGTTGCGCAACAATAAAGGATCTAAGTCTACTGACTGCTGTTTTGCTCCAAATTGCTTGGCTGGAATTTCCTTCTTTTACTGACCACATGGATCCACAGGGGACTTGTACCCCGATGAGCTGTGCTGTTGAGTATTCTCTCAACCCAGAATTTTCCTTAAGAGAGCATATATGGGGTGGATGCTGAACCCAGAGATGATGTGTGCATGCTGCTGCTACAAATTCAGGATTGGCTTGAACCTTTCAAGCTAAGAAGAAGCAACAGACAATCTCAGAGACACATTTGTTAGAGCTGGTGTTCTTTCAACAAAGGTAAGCTCAATAAGGTTATATTATAAAAAGTCTCCTCTTATATTCTTGTTTACAAGATGGTAAAACATGGGCCGGAAAACGCTACTGTTAGGTGACCCCCACAGCCAGTTGACTAACCAAACCCAACAAGGGCTTATGAATGACTCTGTGTCCAGGGTTGCTGATCCAAAAAATCAACACTTCCAATATGGGCTGCCATATGTCCAGATTTTCCCAGACATTTTTGCCACTTTTCAAAAATTATGCCCGGACACTATTTTTGACGGACGAATCCATGGTATGTCCAAGAAATTCCAGGTGTATGGCAGCTCTACTTATTCCTTCCTCCATCTTCTGAGAGTTAAAGTCATATGCAAGGCAAGGCAAGAGTGTATTGGATGTTCCATTCCTGGCAGAGGGGCACTTCCAGCAGGTGTCAGGATCATAGCTGTCAACTTTTCCCTTTTCTTGCAAGGAATCCTATTCGGAAAAAGGGAATTTCCCTTTTAAAAAAGGGAAACGTTGACAGCTATGGTCAGCATAGTTGAGATTGGAACAGTGATATACAAATGTACAGTGACTGAGGTTTGACATAAACAATCCCAAGACTCCAAGCCAGCCTCCCCCAATCTGGTGCCCTCAAAGCATTTTGGACTACAACAACATCCATCAGATGGCCACATATCCTCTACTTCAGCTTCCTGTAACTCAGTGCCATGCTGGTTGGGCCTGATGGGAGTTGTAGCCCAACACATCTAGAGGGCACCAGGTTGAGGAAGCTGAAATGCAAGGGAACAGGCGCCATGGAAACAGCTACTTTTCTACAGAGCCTTTCCCATTCACTTTTCTCTCTGTCCTTATCTTGACCCCTTGGAGAGATTTCCATTATGTCCCATAAACAGAAATCAAATATTTGCAGCCAGCATTAAGCGATTTGTGTAGGGTCAGGGAGTCCAAGATCTAAATCCAGCCTTCACCATTAGAAAAGGATTTATTGGGAAAGCCCCAGGGTAGAGACTGATCCAATTACCCACAGTGAGCTGAAGGAATACTGGAGAAGGCTTCAATCTTCCTCAGCCATATGGAACTACTATTCATTTTTCTGTTCTTCTGTGCTGTGAATAAACTGCATCATGGGCTTCTACAACTCAGATCAGGGGTCAGCAAACTTTTTCAGCAGGGGGCTGGTCCACTGTCCCTCAGACCTTGTGGGGGCCAGACTATATTTTGAAGGGAAAGAAATGAACGAATTCCTATGCCCCACAAATAACCCAGATGCATTTTAAATAAAAGGACACATTCTACTCATGTAAAAACACGCTGATTCCCGGACTGTCTGTGGGCCGGGTTTAGAAGGTGATCAGGCTGGATCCGGCCCCCAGGCCTTAGTTTGCCTACTCATGGCTTAGATCCATGTTATACATTTAAAGTACATGGCTTCACCCAAAGAATCCTGGGAACTGGTATGGATGTGACAATGAGGGAAGAGCTCTAGGGAAGAGCTGATATCAATATCCATTGATATCAGGCAGGAGACTTCACTATACTCTTTTCAGTGCCTACTACAAACATTATTGTTCAGATAAGCCCATTTAGAAAACTGATGCGAGTTTTAATCTCAGTAGTGACGCCCTCCCTGTGGAACACCCTCCCTTCGGATGTCAAGGAAATAAAAACAACTATCTGACTTTTAGAAGACATCTGAAGGCAGCCCTGTTTAGGGAAGTTTTTAAGCATGGGTGTTTTTATTATGTTTTTAGATATGTTGTAAGCCGGCCAGAGTGGCTAGGAAAACCCAGCCAGATGGGTTGTGGTATAAATAATAAAATTGTTGTTGTTGTTACTATCTGAAGTGTTATTTTAACTGTATTCAAAAGTGCTAAATTATTGTTAATTCTTATTGACAATTTCATTATGCTATCTTTATTGTAAGGCATTTTGAGGTTTTGTTTTTAAAAATAATAATAATCAAGCAATGTATAAATTTTATTAAATAAATGAACCGACCAACCCACCCCCCTCGCCCCGTTATGCAGGACATGAGAGAGGCGTGACACTAGACATTGCCTGCATCACTTAATCCGGAGCAGTTATGGCCTCCCTCCGCGGTCCCAGATTAGGAAAGCCAGCTAGCAAACCTAAACCACGCCAGAAGAGGAATTTTACGGGGTCAGCTACCCCGTCGATTTAATCCTGAGCAAGGGGCGGTGCCGTGGCGCGACCGCAAAAGTCCTTGGGTCCCTGACGTCATCGCTGGCCGCACTCGCGTTTCCGTGGTAACGCGCCCTTCCTCAGTCAAGTGGCACCGTGAGGCTTCCGGCGCTCTAGGAAAGGACTCGCCGTTCTCCACCCGCTTCCGGCTCCGTCATGGCGGCGCCCTAACTTGGAATCACGTGAGCGAAAAGCGGCCTGCTTCTGGCGCTGTTGCCAGGCAACGCGCCTTCCCCAACCCCGGCAACTCTGCTTCAATGGATAGGGCGGGGGTCGCTCTGCTAGTCCTCCCCTCTTGAAGGCCGCTGCATGTAGCTCTTAAGGGGGGTGGGTTGAGTGGGAGCGGGGCGGGCTGTGTTCTGGCCCCGGATTTTCTCCTTCCGCCAAGCCGAGGAAATGAAATCCCCCACAGCCCTTCAGGAGGGCAGCTCGCGGGTCTTGGGTTTAAATGGCTTCAAACATGTGGGAAGACGGGCTCTGCCCCAAGGAGCCTGCAGTCTCCCAAGTCCCATCATCCCTGAGCATTGGCCATGCTGGGTGGGCTAATGGGCGTTATTTATATGCAGTATTTTGTAAAATTTATACACAACTGGATTGTGAAAACGAACAAACCTCCAAGCGGTTTACAAAAAAACCCCATAAAATCATCAGAAATTACTAACCATAATTTAAGACCTTTGAAAAGTTATCTTTTACCCTATCTGAGTAGGCTTGTCTAAACAAGAATGTATTTAGCAGGTGCTGAAAAGAGTGCTGTGAAGGTGCCCTTCTGATATGAATAGGCAGAGTTTCAAAGAGTATTTTATTGTTTGTTTGTTTATTTATTTATTAGATTTAGATACCGCCCTTGATCAAAAGACCTTAGGGCAGTTCACAAGATAAAAATACAAGATAAAAACACAGATAGTTAAAGTAAAAACCACAAAACAATATAATATTCATTCTACAATGGCTGAAGTCACAAGTGTAGGTGCTGCTGTTCTAAAAAATTGAGTTCTTACCAGCGGCGGAGAAGTATTCTGTGGCACCTCTAATAGTGCCACTTGGGCACAGCTGTTCCCCATGCCCTGCACTAAAACAAGACATACAATGTTGGGAGGGGGAACAGGATGAAACGGTGCCTGAAGGTGTGGAGAAGGTGAGGAGGGAGTTTGCCTGCTTCTCTCAGTCATAAGACTGGAACTCAGTGGGGACATGCAAGAAAGCTGGAGGTTGGGAGATTCAGGACAGGCAAAAGAAATCAGACAAATTCAGGGAGGACAAGGCTATTGAGGGCTACTAGTCACAATGACTATGCTCTGCTTCCACAGTTAGAGGCAGTAATGCTTCTGAATACCAGTGGGTGGAAACCACAGGATGGGAGAGGTGCTCTTGTTCTTGAAACCTGCTTGTGGGTTTCCCATTGGGATATCTGTTTGGCTGCAGTTGAGAACAGGATGGGCCATTGACTTGATCCAGCAGGCTTTCCTTATGTTCATATCCTGATCCAAGAAATAGGTCCGCCTGCTCACACACCCAGCTTAGAGGCCAATATCCTGGCATGTTTTATGGGAAGCTATGAATTGGCAAACCAAGAGATGAGCGCCAAACCTTGGCACACAATGGGTGAGGCAAGTGGGCAGGGAGCAGGCACAAAGTTTGTTCCTAGACTGTTAGATACAGCCTTTCTTTGGTAGTATATTTGTGGGGGTTCCCTGCACTTTTCCCCTGTTGGAATTGGCTCCTCTTTAATCAGCTGCTTTTTGGATTTTGTAGGTCAGGATGGACTTCTTGAGCCTCTTCCTCCTCTATGTGTTTCTGGTTCTGCTGACCATTCTCCTTGTTTGTTTCTATTCTGGAAGGAAGCAAAGCATCCCCTCAAGGCTTATCACCTGCATAACTCAGGTAAGGAATGATCACATCAGTTTGTCACCCCACTGCTGTGCCCACTTGCGAACAGTGGTACTTAAAATTTGCCAGCACTGTTTCTAGCATGATGACAGGTCAGCTTCCATCCCACCAATCTCTATTTCATGCTGCCAGAGGAGCATCTACACAAAATGGTGATGTTCAGTTTGTGTGTCAATCCTGTTCTTCCATATTGCAGGTAAAGGCAGGTGTTCCCATCCATCATTGGCTCTTCAATCTTGTGATAGTACGAAAGCATTTTTCTATGCCAAAGATATCGTGACTTGTATGTGAAAGAGAATTGACTAGTGGTGATTATTTATTTACATTTAACAATTTACATTTAATACACACACACACAAAGTAATTATAAATAGGCACATAAACAGGCAACAATAAGAACAGATAAAGGTAGAGCATGACCAGTAGTTACAGATGATGGGAGCTGAAATCCAGCAACACCATGAGGACCACAAAGTCTCCTCTATCTCCGTTCTCTTTAGAAGAGATGCAAATGCCATTTCCTAAAAACAGCAAAAGGGGTAGACTTGAGTCTGGGTTGTACCATTTCAGTAGTGCGGGTAAGGAGCTCATGGGAGTGGATGCTTCTCCATACAGTTACAAAAACCTTTACACATAGAAAGCCAAACGTTAGGGAGATGAATTCTAGCTCAATCTTTTCTGCTATGAGCTAATTTTATATGTGGGTGAGTTTTCTTTTCTATGGGAGGAAGATTTAGTCTTCTGAACCCCACTGGCAATCTGAAGTGGTTCACCCTCAAAACCAGTTTGAGAACTAGACCTTCATGCCAAATAAACAGTTTCTGAATTCTTCCAGTGTCAAGAATCAGTTAAGAAATACAGCTGCATTCTGTCCATGTGGCACTTACTCTGTCACCCCAAGAACGTAAAAAACTCAGTGATTGGGGATTTTTTATTTCCCCCTTTAAAAAAAAAATTCCTCCCTCTGTCTTCTGTGATGTAGGTGCTGTTGCGTATAGTCCCATCCCAAGTCCAAGGAGCTGCTCATTGGGTGCTTCATGGACTCTTCCATAAACGGTACTGCTTCTACCCCTTCTTTTGTGCCTTTTCCTTGCCTGTCTGGTTGTTAGCACTAACATTTTCATTTTATTTATGTCACTTTTAAAATTATCATTTCAGTTTATTACCATAAGGTTCCAGGGTGCAATGTTAAAACAATTTAAAACAACCCACAGACATGAGAATAGGGTGAGTCACAAAAACATACATCTCAGATATCAAAGGCAAGGAGAAGGAGGTGTGTATTTCTATGATGCCTATCAGTTGCCTTTTCTAAGGAGGCTCACTTCCACATTAAGACACAAAGTATTACACCTCTAAAGTTATAGTGCAAAACTCTTTGAATTGCCACAGCTTTGCAGAACGGCTTCCAAAGATGGCTTCCCTGTGCCTTCCAAGAGTGCAGCAGGTCTTCTGCATTCCTCGTTCTCTGTTGTGCAGTGATGGCCATGCTGGTTGGGGCTGCTGGGGCTGCTGGGTTGTAGTTGGAACCATCTGAAGGGCGCCAGGTTAGACAAGTCTGTTTTAAGCCATGATTTTTCTGTATATCTTGGGTAACCCTTGGAGATGGAGATACTTCCCTTTTTTATCTGGGTGACTTTTGTTGCCAAGACTGGCTGTGTAATGGCGTCCACTTCACCATTCAAGGAAGTGGAGTGGCATCCCAGCAAAAATATATTCGGATTAAAAAGAAAACATGGTAATGCAAATTATTGATGAAAGCATTATGTTTTGGGTTACATACAGAAAGTGACACACAAGAAGGAACTATCAAGATAATGGGAGACAGAAACAAATAAGAGTGAGCAAATGATTTAGTAATGTGAGATACCTACAGGACTTCACTGTTGCTTTTACTCCAATTTAGCAAATGCAGGTATTTTTGCTTCATTTCCTGGTTGTCCTGGTTGGATTAAAGTTTCTGCATTCAGAATGTCACTGATTTCATCCAGCTCAAGAGAAACAGCAAGGCTCACAAAGGGTAAAGAGGTAGTCTTATTGTACAATCCTGTGCATATTTATTTGGAAGTGTGTTTAATGGGGATTACTCTCAAGTCTGTTTAGGATGGCAGATTTATTTCTTTTATTACAGTTGTTTTCAAAACAGGACCAGTTAGGAGACCAATAGCTTAATTTGGCCTTTAGGTTTCTCTGAGGACAGTTACTCTTCACCTCTAAAACACCTTAGGCTGCAATATCCAGTGCAAAATATCACAAGCCTGATATATTTCTGGGTGGGAGTCTACCCTTACGCACCTCTTTTCTTTTTGCTGCAGAAACTGTACATTTGTGGTCCTGCACTTGCTCTTGGAAGCTTTGGTTTACGGGGAATATGCCTGGGAAGTGTTTGGCTATTGTCAGGAGCTGGAGTTCAGCAGTCACTTCCTCCTCCTCCCTTACCTACTCTTGGCTGTGAACATAGGTTTCTTCATTCTGTGCTCCAAGACTAACCCAGGTAACACTGCTTTCCCTGCAATTGTAACTGTTGGGCAGTGGGGAAGTACCCCATAAATGGCCTTGATTTCAGCGGATGGGGTGATGAACCTATGCCTGCTTCCAGTTAATATAAGACACCATTATAAAACCTTGGAATACAAAGAAATGAGCATTCTTCAGTTGTTCTGTGACCTTACGAAGAGCTTCTGTTGGGTAGATTCTGACGCGCAGCGTAAATTAATAATGCAGAGTTTTAAAGAATAAAAGCTTTACTAAGTTAAAATAAACTTCTTCATAAACAACATGGTTCCAAACAGTTTGACTGAGATTACATACAGACTCTGTTCAAAGCTGAGGCAGACAGACTCTCACTGACATCTTAAAGAGAGCACAAAAGAGAAACTGGCTGCTCAGTTACATGTCAGAATGACTCAACAGTTAGCAGTTAGGCCTGAATAAAATTAGTAGGCCCAAATGACTGTGCAGTCCCAGCACTTCCCAGCCTGCTTTGCTGCTTCTGCTCTCATGTGTCTTTGTCACATGACAGATTCTGCAGCTAGACTAGCGTTTTGGCTGGTGCCCTACCCATACCGTTTATGCCAGCTTTTGCCAACTGGTGCCGTCCAGATGCTTTGGACACCCAGGCAGCACAGCTGGCTGATGGGAATTGTAGTCCTTACAAGGCACCAGGTTGGCAAAGGCTGCTCTACACACACATACACCAAGGATGCATGGGTACCTCCTTCCCACTGAGCTATCTTTGGATGCCCAAAGCAGGCACCTCTCTGGAACATGCAGACTAGGTAATTCCCACCCCCCTGCAGGGAAGTTCCTTCACAGTACTGCTCTTTTAGTTCAGTTCACTTATCTTGTGTACATTATTTTCCAGTTATTTCCTTCTTTCAGTTTTGCTTCATAGTCAGTCACCCTTTGGGCACCGTCCTCTTGCTGTGTGCCGAGCTTTATGGCCCAGCCATTTGTCTTTTTTCTCAAGTGTGAGAATTGCAGCAGTCACAACCTGTCTCCTGGGTTTTGGAGAGTCTCACCAACATGTGCAAGGACTATTATGCCTTCACCAAGCAGTTAAACTACATCATTTGCTCCCACAGGTCTTGGGCTGCTTAAAATGGGAATTAGACAAATTTGTGGAGAATACTAAGGATATAAGTGGCTACTAGTCATGATGGGATGGCTGCATACTGCCTCTGGTGTCAGAGTTTGTTATACCTTAGAATGCCAGTTGCCGGAGAGCACAACTGGAGAAAGTTGCTGCTTTTGCACTCAGGTCCTACTTTTGGGCTTCCCATTGGGGCACGATTAAGAACAGGATGCTGACTTAGATGGACCCCCTTTGGGCTGATGTAGCAGGCCAAATTATTATATTCGCTGGAATTTGAAATCGGATGTCAGGAAAGAATCCTAGCAACAAGGCACCATTTGCTACTGCCTTTCCCGGTCCAGGTACCATAACCAAATCCAACCAGGTGCTGTTCCTCCATGCATATGCCTATGACGGTGTGATGTTTGAGAAAGGGGTTGAGTGCTCCACTTGCAAAGTGAGGAAACCTGCCCGATCCAAGCACTGTGGTGAGTTTATATTATAATTATCCCCACATGACTGTATATGTGTGCCAAGATCTGCCTTGGAGGATGTCCATTTAATGGGTCCCACCATCATGGGCAGTGAGGCAGGTAGCAGCTGGAGACGGGGCCTTCTTTGTGGTGGTGCTTCAGCCCTTGAACTCTCTCCCAAGAGAGGCTCACCTGACACCAGTTAATGTCCTTTTGGCACAGGATGGAAACTCTTCCCCCTGGTCTTCTCTGGATGGTGTGTAGGTGGTCCCAAGTTCAACCATGGGATAAGGCCAGTCCCAAGGATGGGCTGGTCACATGACATAGGATTGTTAAACACCACTCCTGTCACTCCACTTCCACTTATTTTGCCTGTCTTGCCAGAGCAGATGGCTATCTCTTGCCTGCTTTGTCATCATGTAATAATTGATGAGTCTTGACAGAACTTTTGGTTACCGTTTTTGTTTATTGTTATTATTCTGTTCAATTTGTGTTGTAAAGCACTCTTGAGAACATTTGTGTTGAAAAGCAGGATGTTAATGTATTTTTAGTAATTTATTTATTTGTTAAATTTGTATCTTGGGACCTTCTAAGATTAAAAGAGATTGCTCATACTGGCATCTGTTTCTGCTCTGGCCCTAAACTCCTTGTATCCACTGTGTCCTTTTTCTAGGTTGACCCATCCCATTTTGCCACGAAGGTAGCACCCTGCATTTGTGCTGCCCGCCCCCCACTTACCATGTCCACTGAAGCCCTGCTTACAGAGGTCACACAGTTGAGGGCTCTGGTTCCAGTGAGAACCTTACGAAATCGTGCAGGGGCCTCACATGACCTTCCCCAGACCCCAGCTGCCTTGCTTAAGAGAGGCCTCTGCGTAATCTCGCAGGGATCTCGTGAGATTCCCCCTACAACCCAGAAGCTGCCATAATCACAGATGTGCCCCTTGGATTCTGCCACCTGAGGCGGTTGCCTCAGCCTGCCTGGTGGCCCTACCTTTTTAAAATGTCAAACACCCCCTCCCCCATCTGCCTTTACCTCTGCTCTCACCCTGTGCATTGCTGGAGGCCTCTTCAGAAGAGATTTTGCACCAGGAGACCTGCCACATGTGGTCAAATTGGGTCAAAAATCTTTTATTTGGTTTGCTGCTTTCTTTCCCTCCACTCATTCGCCCACCTTCCCCTTTGAACAATGGGGCTATTAGGAGTGACCCAGCATGCTAATAGCTCATGCCTGGTTTTTCGTTTGTTTGTTTTAACTGGTATGTTTTAAACTCAGGAGGGTTATGGGTTGGTTTCTTGATAACCAGAACATCATGACCTTTCTTCTGGCTTTGATCAGGTGTGTGCAACAGCTGCGTGCATCGTTTTGATCACCACTGTGTCTGGGTCAACAATTGCATTGGTGCCTTCAACATCAGATACTTCCTGCTCTATCTCCTTACCTTGACCTCCATGGCTGTTTCAATCGCAGTCTTAACAGCCACTTTCCTCATCCAGGTGGTCCTTCTGTCAAATATGATGCACGGGTATTACACAGATGACCAAGGCCAGGAGCGCCCAATTGATGCCTTCTTCCTTATTCAGGTAAAAGTTGACAAAATGATGTGGGCTGTACCCAACTAAATCCTGCTCAGAGTAGCCCTGTTGAAATTAATGGACCAGTAATTTCAGTGGGCCTGCTCCGAGCAGGGTTTAGTTGGATACAACCCTTAATGTCTGATGCCTTCATCTGTATGTAGCTGTGGACTCCCTTGAAGGGAACAGATTTACTGTTGTGCAAGCTTTTGCAGAAAGGGTCTTACTTCTTCTGATCTGCAGAATAGATTTCAAAGCCTGAATGTAATTTAATCAAAAGAATCATTAATTTGGAGACTAAATATGCCTTTCTGACATTGACGTTAAATTGATGTGCTTTTATTATCAAGGGGTGGGATCCAGCTAAACAGTTCCACTTGTCGCAAGCACTTTGGATGCACAGTGGAACTTCTTTTCCCCACCTACTCCCTAAAGCTTAGGGGTGACCCCCAGAACAAATATAGGGGATGCATGGGGGTGGGATTCCATTGTGCAGTCAAAAATGCTAGCAGTAGTGAAACTGTTCAGATGGATACCACCCAAGAAACTTAATAGTATGCACCTTCTTGAGAATAGTTGTTTTACAAAGCTAACTTAGATGTGCCTTTGTCTTTCTTTGTTATAAGGGCCACTGGTACTAAATTCAAAAGACACTTGCATATTGTATGGTGATCAGAGGAACTATGGTTAGTCTGGGTTTTCTTAGTAATTTGAATTTAGCTTTTCTTTTACTATCAAGATAAAAGCTAAAATTTTGAATTATTCAAGATGCAGACTTACTGATCACATTGATCAAAGTGCAGTATTGACAAGCTGTCTACCATTGAAGGAAGAAGTAGGCACATGAACCACCAGGACAGGGGGGTTAGGCTATTCTTTGTGCATTTTGACTCCAGCTGGGTATTTTTCTCTTCGCAGCATCTTTTCCTGACCTTCCCCAGGATCGTGTTCATGCTGGGCTTTGTTGTTGTCCTTTCAATTGTACTGGGCTCCTATTTTTGTTTTACTCTGTATTTGATCCTGACCAACCAGACAAGCAATGAGTGGTTCAAGTCAGCAAGGTATAAATGTTCATCCTCAGAGGACGACACCAGGCAGAGGGGTTACAAAAATATTTATTCTAGAGGCATCCAGGGCAACATCACAGAAATTCTTAAGCCAATTATGAGCCCTGAAAAAAAGCAAAGATGAGTTGCCATTGACAGCAGTGGACTGTATAAATCTTAAATTTTTAATCTCAGCACAGAAGTCCCAGGCAAAATTAATCTACTGCAAGGGTAGTCAATGTGGTGCCCATGGGCATTGAGTGTGCCGGACACTACCTACCTCTTACAGGGCCTGTGAAAGATCTTAGTTCTCATCACAATGCTCAGAGAGGGTGTTTGCTCTTTTTGTGCACCTCCTTTTTGCACTGTCTCAGCCTATCCTTCAGTGGCTGGCAGAACTGGATATAGTGGTCCTCCACCCATGCTCTTGGAAGTGGCAGCCATCTCCAAATGTGCCTACTGGCCCCAAAAGATTAGTGACTCCTGACCTTAACTGTTGAGTCGGCCTTGCAAGCAAGCCCCAACTTACCAGTGCAACTGGAGTAACCATACCTGTTTACTGCTAGTGTCTGCCTGAAATGGAAGCTGAAGCTGCAGTTTGTGATAGGGACAAGGAACTAACCTCTAGAATACTGCACTGCAGATGGTTGGACTATAGATGATCCTTATGGTCCCTTCCAATTCTATGATTCTGCTTAGGAGCCCTAAGCCCCTGCTTGCTTCTTGAGACTTTAGGCACTACCCTAGTTTCCAATCATGAGAACTAGAAACTTGTTAACTAGAATAATCTAAGGCTACTGACTGATTTTGCACAACTAACATTCATTTCAAGAGTCTGGCATATACAGAGTCCTGCTGGATTACATTTACTCTGTAGGATAAGAGAAGTGACAGCTACTTTTTACCAGAACAAAAAACAAATAACCAGCTTTCATCTAATAATAGCTCTCTTTTTATTACATCAGAATTTTGTAGAAAATTATGTATTTTAAAAACACTTACAAACTGTACAATAAGCAATTAAATGTTACATGGTTACAAAATGTACATTGTGGCCTTTATGTAGCAGTTGCAGGATATTAAGATAACCTGTTTTCCTGTATAGTAAAGCATTTTCAAACTTTTCTTTAAAGTTTGTGTCCATTATGAATAGCTTACATTCCATGCCTTATATGGACTTACATATGAAAGGCAAGTAGGTGCCCCAGAAAGGAGGCCTCTGGTTGCATGGCATAGTTTAATTTCCCTGCAAATCCCCCCACCATCCATTTTTTCTCCTCCCACTAAGCTAATATTAAAGTGCTTCGCTCCATCACTGCCTGATTTCAACAAGCAGCAGCTGAGCACAAGTGCTATGAGGACACTAGTCATCAAGCCCTTTGGCACCACCAGAGTGCCCCAGCCCCATGTGACATTTTCCACAGTGCTGAAGACTACCCACGGGGCAGTCTCCAGAGATTGAATGCAGATATGGCTCTTTCCCCTGGTCTAGACTATAACAGTCTGAACCTCCACTTCCTCCTCCTGGGTGGCAATCACAAACTCCCCCGTGTGCTCCATTATTTCAATGTCTTCGGATGCCACCATTGTCACCGTTGCCTCTTCAGCCTCGCTGCTCCCCTCTGTGGTCAACACTGCTCCTTCACCAATGGCTGAAGCCAACGTCATGGCAACCTGCTCCGTGAGACTCTCGGGAGTTGCTATGGCAATTGTGTCTGCGTCTGTGCCGTCAGGTGTCAAGGCAGAACTTTCTGCCACAGTGACATTCTGGACAATTATCTGATGGCCAGAATTTGCTTGGTTGACGATCTGCTGAACTACTTTCATGATGTGACTGTCCACCTGCATGGAAGGAAGGAAATACACCAATGATTCAAAGCCAGATTTGCACACACTGTATCAGAGTTGCTGCACGTGTAGTTTTGAGTCCAACAGAGGATGACAAGCGTGGCGTACATTTTCATGAACAGCCGCATTCCTCAATGTGGGGCCCTCCAAATGTTTCAGAATACAACTCCTAGCCAGCACAGCCACTCTTTTAAAAATGTGTCCAGAGAGAAAGAAACAAAAACCATGGAGCCAAAAAGCCCTAAAGGACGGGGTATGTCAACTGCTTGACAATGAATAAATGTTAGTTCCTTTCACCTATTCTATAAAGTGCAAAGGAATATCTAGGTAAAGGTAAAGGGACCCCTGATCATTAGGTCCAGTCGTGACCGACTCTGGGGTTGCAGCGCTCATCTCGCTTTATTGGCCGAGGGAGCCGGCACGCAGCTTCCGGGTCATGTGGCCAGCATGACTAAGCCACTTCTGGCGAACCAGAGCAGCGCACGGAAACGCTGTTTACCTTCCCACCGGAGTGGTGCCTATTTATCTACTTGCACTTTGAGGTGCTTTCGAACTGCTAGGTTGGCAGGAGCAGGGACCGAGCTATGGGAGCTTACCCAGTCATGGGAATTCGAACTGCCGACCTTCTGATCGGCAAGTCCTAGGCTCTGTGATTTAACCCACAGCACCACCCGCATCAAAGGAATATATAAGTGGACACAAATCTGACATGCTGTCCAGCTCCAAACTAGCAAGTTCTTCCCTCCTCCAGCAAACTAACAGATGGGGTGTGAAGAGTCCAAAGATAAAGGGTGGGGAAGAGAAGAGAAAATACAGAGTTCGGCAATGGCTCTTGCTTTAAAATCAGAGTCGCTTTAAGACCAAACCACTTGCTTTTCTTAGTGCCAGGAACTGGGGAGGTTCTCCTCTCTGAAAGGGGTTGTAGAACTTTGGGAAGTGGACACAGAGCACCTGTGTTGCATACAGAAAACCTCAGGTTCAATCCCTGGTGGATGGCAAAGACCTTTTTCTGCCCTAGATCCTGGAGGGCAGACCCGGTAGAAAGCAGCTTCCTAGATCCACTCTCCCACCCAAGAAGGTATTAAACAAACAGGCTACCTAGTCTTTTGTGTGTGTGTGTTTGCTACAAAGATGTCTCTTGGTAATTTTATCAATGAATTAATCACTTCAAGCTTTAAAGTTTTTAGTAGCAAGGATTGTAAGGAACCTCTTCAGGGAGAGCAACCTACCTCATGCCTTGTCCCTTCTATGATTTCAGCAGCTTCCGTGGTTTCCATCTCTTCAGTAGCTGTCTAAAAGAGAGAACACAGATTTCCCCTAAAGCAGGAACTTAACTTTGCAGTGTAATCACATGCAGGTAATGTCCTCAGGAATGCTCTTTGCTCCAGGAACAATCCACCACATACCTTCTGCTCTACCTCTCAGGCTCAGCCAGCACAGCCATAGGATGCTGGTGCTCATGAAAATGGTTCAAAAATAGAATGAACTGGGCTGGTGAAGCCTGGCATATTCTATTCAGAAGCGCTTGACAGATTACAGTCTGGCTCTCACTGCCCCTGGACAAACCACAACTGAAAACCACCCTGCAGTGTAGGAAAACTTAGTTTTCTCCAAGAGATTCTCCCTCAGTGCTGCTCAGCTACCTCAATTATGTACTCTTGCGTATCTGCCACCACCGAAGAGAACTCCACGAGGACTGTAGGAGGATCTTCAGAAATGACTGTTGCAGCTAAATTGTCAGCAGACTGACCTTCCTCCGACACTGCTTCTTCTTCAGCTTCTTTCAAGGCAAGCAGACAGCCACCTAGGTGACAAATAAGGTAACTCTTGTCAAATTAAAATAATTTCTGTATACATGTTCAATCCTGACATGCTCAAGTCTCTTATCAAAATATCCTTTGTCTAAAAAAAACCACCCCTCTGTGCCAAGGATTGCCAAATTCTTGGCCCCATTGTTTGCAAATATAGCTTGTTTCCTTATTCTGGATTATTTGTTCAGGGAGCAATGACCTATTATATAATATTTTAAAATATTAAGACACTTATACATGCTTTTAAAACAAATACTCAGCCACTACAAGAAATCCAGTTCTCCCCACCACCACAGATCAAAAGATCAACCAATATTCTGACCTCTAGAAACTTCACCAGGAAGATTCTGCACCTGTCTCCCAACCTCTTGGCCACTAAATGTTATAGCACTCTACAGAAATGGTGGGCGATGGGGTTGCCAAAAAGCTTCTCCTAGAAGCTAGCACATGTCGTCCTTGGCTCCAGCTTGCATTTTACATGAAAAGAGAAAGGTCCCTTACCTTTGGTCCTCAGGTGCCTGTTGAGGGTGCCATGCTCTGCAAAACCACGGCCACATTTGTAACATTTGAAGGGCTTCTCCCCTGTGTGGTGGCGGATGTGGCGCACCAGGGAACCCTTTTCCCGAAATCCCTGACTGCAGAATTGGCAGACGTATGGTTTGTCATCAAGGTGTGTCCGAAAATGCACCTGCTGGGCATTCTGCAGGACAGGAGAGCATGGAAGCCATGAGTGAACATAGATAAATGCAGCAAACTTGCTACACTGGACCTCCTGAGCAGACAGAAGCATTATCCATTGCACACCACTCTTAAAAGTATTTTTTAAAAAATCATCTGCTTCACTTTGAGCACTTCAACAAAGCTGCTTGTCTGCCGAGAGCTGTTTTTTAAATAAACGACAGGTGACTCCAAGGCACTGGGGGCAGACTTGCTGCCAAAGAAAAATAAACCACCCATCTTTTGGCACAAAGCCCAGCAAAATCCTTCAGCAGTGCTCAGAAATTTTCATTTGAGCACTTTCGGGACACTCAGAGAACTCTGGAGAAGCACTAGTGCGCTTCGGGCAAAATGGAAAGCAATGCTCCTCACAAGTCTCCCAGTCACTTTGAGTGCTAATGCCAAGGTAAAATTGCTCTGCCCACTTTTCCCTACTGGCACATGGCCCTCCAAAAGTCACCTAAAAGGGAATGCGGCCCTGGGGCTTAACCAGGTTCCCATCAAAGAACAAGTCCCAAAAGATGTGGGGCTCCTACCTTCGTCTTGTATCTCTTGCCACATTTGGGGCAAGGATATGGCCGCTCATCAGAGTGAACCCTCCTGTGTCCCTTCACATGCGCAATTGTTTTGTACAGCTTGCCGCAATCCCCACAACGGAACCGCCGCTCGTTCACGTGCACTTCCTGGTGTTTTTTCAGCAAGTAGCCCTTGGTGAATCCTTTGCCACACTCTTCACATGGGAAAGGTTTGTAGTCTGGGCAAGGGGTGGGAAGTTTCACAAAAAAAGAGGATTGGAGCAGGCAGAATGTCCAGTATTTATGACATTTGAAAATGCAAGGCGGTAGAATATCAAAGAAGAAACTGCTTTCATAGCCGCAGAGGAACTGCCCATAAATTTTCTGTTCGTAGCAAAGACGACAGGTGCCTCAGGCGTGAGGCTGATTTAGCCAGAGATCTCGGGGTTGACCTTTGCTCAAAGACTAACCCGCATACAGAAGCTAAACTTAAAGCCAGTATCTGCAATACTCAGCTAAATAATTGAGACATCTACCATTTTTGCTACTGAGTAAAAAATTTCTCAGCAATTCTGAGGCATTCAAACTATTTTTAGTTTTATGGTATCCTGCAGCAATGTGCACCAATCTAGTAGAAAAAATAAATTATTTGCATGTCTTGGAAAGCCACCCAGCTGCAGCCTGATAAAACTTTGTGACTGTAAAAGGAAGCAATTTGTCCATGGATACCTTGACGAGACACAACAAGATGTCCCCTTACCAAAATGTCTGCTGATGTGCTGGTCAAGGGAGCTGTGTTCCCGGAAGACTTCACTGCAGTAGGGGCACACCTGGCCCTCATCAGTCGCATCTGCATCTGGCTATGAGACAGAGGGGGGCAGCATAAGTACTTGACATTGCAAAAGCTTGACTAGGGATATCCTATTTGAAAGGCAGCATATGCCACTGTTAAAGCAGCACTGAAGGCAGCTAAGGGTGGCGCAGGTCATGTGTTAACCCGTATACAGCTGCACACCACCAAGGCCTGTTGTCATGCATCAGCCAAACCTGACTTCAGGAGAGGTGAGTTAACCTAAATACAGGAAAAGCAGCTACCCTGACAAACTTACAGTTTCTGCTTGCTCGATCTTCACGTACTGCTCCCCACACAGCTTCTCGGGCATCTCCACCTCTTCATTCTTTGACTCCTCTGCACCAGTCACCTCATTGGCTTCATCTGATTTGCTCGCCTCCTCCATGGACACCTGTTCTATCACAATCCCAGAATTCCTCATGGCTTCCCTCAGCAAGTTCTCATTGTCATCTCCCTCAGGGGGCAGATCCTCAGGATTTGAAGGCTAAAGAAAACCAGGGACAGATGCAGGGCAGTTAACTGCAAAGTAGAGACCATTTGTTTTAGCCCCAGAAGTTGCTAAAAGTTCTCTCTTAAGCCAGCATTCTTCAGCCTTTTGAACTCAGGAAACCACTGGCATCTCTTCTCCCGGGCCCCACAACCCATCAGAAAATGCAAATGACTCCCAGAGAATGCCATATGCAAGGTTTAGATTGAGATTTAACTCTTAGATGTTCCTTGCCTCTCTGCAATTTAGTTAGAACAGCCATTTTTGAGGAAGCGACATTAAACCCCTACCACTGGGCCTGCTCGCTACAGAATCTTTTTACCCTCTGCAATTTTACACTTACACACACTCAGTGGTGGCCCATCTTACAATTTGAGACCCACTCTCTTAAACAGAAAAACCAAACTGTTAGCAAACTGATCTCAGATGCCTGTGCAGAGCGCACCAAAAGTTCTCAAATTTCTAAAGAGGGAGACATTATTTAGAACTGCTTACTTTCTTGCAGATGAGCTTTGAGTTTTGATGCCTTGTGTTGGGCTTGAAATTCTCCAGGGAAACTTATCTCCAAGATTTCAAAGCAAGACTTCTTTAGAATTTTCTTTCCACCTAGCCCCTTGAGACTGGTCAGGCATGTTGTCTCATCATGCCAAACCCATAACTGGAAATCAGTGTGTGTCTCTAGTCTAAGCCAAATGCCAACCTTCCCCTCATCATGGGTGGCACTAACCTCTTGGCCCAACAATTTCTCCTCTGTGATTGGGAGCTCCTGCACCTGGACGTGGACTTCATGGAGGACATTCCCTTTTGCATCCGTCACTAAATGAATGACAGGAGGGGACTCCACAGACTGAGCTGCTAGCGAGGGAACAGCCTCTACATTGGAATCATTTGACCCTTCAAGAAAAACAGCAAACAGGAGTTCTCAGCAAGCAACCTAGCTCCCAAATACAACTTCCCACTTTGAGGTCTTCTCTTCCCCCAGTATCCAAAGCAATTTCCTCTGTGTTTGCAATATTTCTGCATTTACATGATGCTTTCAATTGTCAAAGTACTTCAAGCACCATCTTGTTTACAAGTAACTATTTAAAGTAGGCATGTTGCAGGTTACGGCATGCCTAAGGCCTCCTAGAGGCAAGACTTGGATTTCTGTATTCAGAGCCTGGTTACTTAGCCACCATGCTACTCAACAAGAAAAAGCCTCTCAGAAAACAGAGGCAAAGCCAGAGGACACCCCTCACGTAAGGTCAGAAATGTCCCACCTTACTCAACTGCCTTCTAGATCTGCCATAAACATGAACTGCATCTTGCTTTGGACCAACAGAGAATACTTTCAATGAAAGACAACAAAACTGACTGTACAAACAGCAGGGCAAGCTGCTGGCCTTTTTACTGACCTGCTGCTAAATCCTCTTTGCTCACAACTATTTCCTTGTTCATATTGAAGCGGGTTTTCTCAGTACAAGGAGTCAAGGATTTCAGGTGCCGGGTCAAGGCTCCTGACTCTCGGAAGCTTTTCCCACATTTCTTGCACTTGTAAGGACGCTCATCTTAACAGGTTGAGAAGTAAAAGACAAGAGTTATAACATGGAAGAAAATGGCCCATGGACTCCAGCTAAGAAATTTTCCCTCTTCTGCTTCTCTCAGAAAAGGAAGCAGATGGGGATGATGTGACTGGATCCCGATGGGATGTTCCTTTCATAGCATCCACAGTAGCATCCTTTTGGCAGTGCTAGCAAACTGGAGGCTTAGTGCATGGCTCTCATGCCTTCCATTGTCGCCAGCAGAGGGGGTTTGTCCGTTCTGACTCAATCATTATACACCAACAAGCACTGAGGGGTTTTCTACACATGTAGCACCATCATGGATTTTATAACAAACCAATCTGTCCTCTCACCTGTATGACGACGATGGTGTCTGATAAGCGAGCCCTTGGTCCTGAAAGATGTCCCACATATCTTACACTCATAATCCTTCCTGCTGCTGTGAGTTATCATGTGAGCTTTGAGGATGCTGGCCTGGAGCAAGGAGAAAGGAACTATTGGTGATGCTGCCAGGCACACAGATCACCTGTTTTAACCAATGGAGAATTTCAAGCTGTAGCTACACAAGCACACACATATATTCACACACAAAAACAAACACACAGTTGTACATCGGAAGTCGAACGGAATCCATTCTGGAAGTCCGTTCGACTTCCAAAACATTCAGGAACCAAGGCACAGCTTCCGATGGGCTGCAGGAAGCTCCTGCAGCCCATCGAAAGCCACAATGGACGTTCAGGTTCCAAAGAACGTTCACAAACCGGAACAATCACCGGAACGTTCACAAACCGGTTTGCACCATTTGGGAGCCAAAACATTCAACTCGCAAGGCGTTTGACTTCAGAGGTACGACTGTATAGGCAAAAATGATGGCGTATACATAAAAGTTAAAATCTGGTTTCGATTTTGAAGGTTGTACAGTGGTACCTCTGGTTACGTACTTAATTCGTTCCGGAGGTCTGTTCTTAACCTGAAACTGTTCTTAACCTGAAGCACCACTTTAGCTAATGGGGCCTCCCGTTGCTGCCACGTCACCACCGCACGATTTCTGTTCTCATCCTGAAGCAAAGTTCTTAACCTGAGGTATTATTTCTGGGTTAGCGGAGTCTGTAACCTGAAGCGTATGTAACCTGAAGCGTATGTAACCCGAGGTACCACTGTATTCAGATTTGAGTTTTTTACTTGTCTATTGCAAGCCACCCAAATGCTATGAATAAATAAATCTATAAATAAATAAATAAATGCAAATCTCTACAGTATTTCCTTATTTGTCCAGCACTATCTTATACGATCTGGTACAAACTTCAAACATACCGTTTTGAATGTCTTGTGGCATAGTTCACAGACGTATCGGCCTTCTTTATTAACCAGCAGCTTAACTTTGATGAGCTCCATGGAGGCCCCTTCTTCTGGGCCTTCAGGACTATCCTGCCCCTCTCCAGTGTCACCATCAATGTGGCCATTTGGGCTTTCAAATACATGGTCTCCAGCTACAATGACTTCTTTGATGTGCCCACTACCTGCAACCAGAACACCACACAGTAAACCAGATACTATCAAACCATACAAACTATCAAAGTCTGCATAAAGTTCTTATGACAATGACCATTTTGATCCTTGTCATAATACTGTCTTGTATATTTTTTTCACTTTTTCACTGCAAGTGCATTTGATAGTTTTACTAAGTTATTCCTCACAACCCCAAATTCTCTTTCCTGGACAGCCAGTTCATTGCACCCAGAACTTGCGGTTCTCTTTGTTATTCTCCTAACTTATGTGCCTCAGTTTGTACTCAGCTTACATTGAACCTCATTTGCCGTTCTGCCGACTGTTCATCTGGTTTGGAGAGCCTATCACATTTCTCATTGTTTGCTTGGATTTTCACCATCCTGCATAATTTGGTTTCATCTGGAAACTTTGCTACTTCATCAAACCCCAGGTTAATTATTAGAGTTAAACAGCTTGGGTCCCTGAGCAACAACACTGCATTTTCCTGTGTTGTGAGAACTGTTTACTCCTACAATTTTTTTGCTGTTCTTTCACCAGCTACCTATCCCCATGACAAGCTGTGAATGAAAAGTTTACTTAGGAACTTTTATTAGGGGGGTTTGTCAAAGGATTATGGAATTCAAGCTTATACTGTTTGATTTACCTTTATGTACTTTCTACAAGTTTATTGAAACACTCAAAATACCTCATAAAGTTTGGTGAACATACCTAGTATTGCAGATGTGTTGCTGATTTCTTCTGTTATTGGAGAAGCTTCAACAACTATATGAGCTACAGTTATAGGCTCTTCAACAGATGAAATGACCTGTGCAGCAAACGGAGTTTTAGTAAAAGAATGCATATAGCAATAGTTATAGCCAAACAGTGAGAGATGCAAAATTAAAAATATTTCTCTGCTCACACTTTATTCACTCTTCCCCAAAGTGATGAAGGTTTGTTGTCTGCACCAATCTAGTGCTGCTTGCAAAGGAACACCTGGGAACTCCTTTTGAGGTTCAGTGGTTCCTTTGGAATCATGTTTTTAGATGCCTTAAAACCTGACATCAGGTGTGGAGGTGTGCTTTGGGGGAAATTGCCTCACAAGTCAAATGAGGACCCATGCCAGGTCCAATTAGGTCCACTGGCCAGAGGCTTCCCACTACTGATTTCAACAGTAGTCAGTTGACTTACCCTGCCACTCTTGCAGTAGGACTTAAAAAAGACATCTGTGAATTTCCAGGCATCACACCTAAGCCTCCCTCAAACCCATCCAGTAATTACCCAAAACTACTAGAGCAATATTGCCATGCTTTCCCCCACCCACTGCCCACAATGAGAAAACTTGTCCTAGCAAGCAGTCTCAGGGCTAGAAGAGAATCCAGCCATCGCCTTCCCCACATCCTGCCTCAGGAAACTTGCCGGGGTTGTTACTGCTGTAGTATCTTGCTGCCTCTGGCAAAGCTTCTGTAATTTGTGCTGTACAAATTCTTCCAAAGAAGTGAACTCAGACTGGCACCGACCACACTTGTGCCTGTCATCTTCATCTAAAATTCAAAGGATAAGAAAACTGTCACCATCTTCAGATGGAATAACAAGACTATTTAAAGACCAGCTGGTTTCTAGCTTATATTGGTCATTATATGATAGGAAGGAAGTTGTACAAATTGTTACCTAACCATTGATAGGATAGCTTGAGAACACACCTTGACATAAAAGCATCCAGTAAATGTGAAAAACAAGCTGAGAAGAATTTAACATTGATTAAGATTTGAACATGATTTTGCAATGCTTAATAAGGGTCAAGTGCAGAAAGGGGCAGAGCTCCTGCACCCTAAAAAGCTGTGTAGAAGAGAATTTCAATACAGCAGCTTGCACAAGTTACACTGCTGAAATCCCCATTCCCAGCACTTCCACTGTCCTCTCTTAAATGTGACCATGAAATACATGCTTTCTCAGAGAAAAGATGTAGGCAGGAGCTATTTTACAACTGAGCAACTCTGGCTAAAAAACAAGTCTATCATGTTTCTTTCCTGATTCTGGCACATTAGCAGAAGCAGTGTTCCTGATCATTCTCATCCAGGCCGCGGTTTAAAAGAACAGGTGTTGGGTTACATTAAAAAGAAGTGAAACTTCAGGGATATAGACTCTGAAAGCTCAGTGCGGCTTTCGCAGACCTGCCACCTTCCAGATGTCTTGGCATAGCTGTCAATGTTTCCCTTTTTTTAAGGGAAATTCCCTTATTCTGAATAGGATTCCTCGCAAGAAAGGGGAAAAGTTGACAGCTATGTGTCTTGGGCTACAACTCCCATCAACCTCAAGCATGGCCACGTTGACTGAGGCTCATGAGAGTAGTAGTTCTGAGAGTTGTAGAGGCTGGAAGCGAGGAACCCGACAGGAGGCTGCGTGGCACCATTTCCCGAGGCTCAACCAACTTTTTGCCTGCAAGTGAGTCCCACGCTTGCCATTCCTCGCTCCAAAGCAGGAGGGGCGCAGGCGCGACACCGTAATTCTCAGAAGAGAGAGGCCTCCACTCTCCCATCGTATTGGACCTTCGCCTTTATTGGGTGGCTTAACGAGCTGCTGCATCGACAAGCCCAAGAGCGGGCTGCGCAAAGAGTTGAGGGAACCACGGGCACCCCTTCCTCCTCGGGAGGAACATTACTTTACAGAGTAAGAGACCCCTCCCCTCCCCCCCATCCCTGCCTGCCTGCCAAGCCGGTACCTTCTTCACCGAAAGGCGCCGGGAGACTGAGGAAGGCGGCGGGCCCCTGGTTCGCGCCGGAGACCGCCTCAGCCGCACACTCCTGTCCCCGTGGCCCAACTGCCGTAAGCCCCGCCGGCCCAGCGCTCGTTGCCATCGCGGCCTCCATGTCGCAAGGCGCCGCAACCATCAAGATGGCGGCTTTACGGCCGTGTCGTCATAACAACGAGCCCGGCGCCGCCACGGGGCGGGGCCGCAGAGCCCGAACTTTTGCCAATTGAGGCGAGGCTCGGGGTTTCCTCTCCTCAGCTCACCTGAAGTGGGCAGAGCCGCCACGGCGCCGCAGCCAATGAGGAGCAAGGGCGGAAAGGCTCTATTTCGGCTAGGCCAATGGGAACCTGGCAAATGCGGACGAAGCCCGAGCAAACGAAGCGAGGAGACGGCGTCTCACCCAATAGCAAAGTGGCTTCGCTTCATCTCGGCCAATAAGCAGCTACGGCGGGCGGGGCTCAGGCAGGGGTCTAAAGGCTGCGGTCACCTCACTCTCTCCCTCAAGGCGCAAGATGAGGCGGAGCCTGAAAAGCCGGCCCCGCCCAATCAGCGCCAGCTCGCGCCGCCTCCCAGCCAATCGACGTCGAGGAGAAGTCGTGAGAAGAAAGCAGCGCCGGTTTCTCTCAGTCCGTCCATCTGAGCAGGTCCGCGATGGCGAAGCGGTGCGAACGGCTGGGAACGTCGGCCGCGGCGCGGTCGGCGCTACGGGACGCGGAGGCGGTGCTGTTCGACTGCGACGGGGTGCTGTGGCGGGGCGAGGCGGCGATTCCCGGGGCGGCGGAGGCGCTGGGCCGCCTGGCGGGCGCCGGGAAGCAGCTGTGCTACGTGACCAATAACTCTTCGCGCACGCGCCAGGCCTACGTGGAGAAGTTACAGCGCCTGGGCTTCCCGCCGGCCGAGACGCGGCAGGTCTTCGGCTCCGCCTACTGCGCCGCGCGCTACTTGAGCCACGCCCTTCCTGCGGGAGGCGCCGCCTACGTGCTGGGCGGGGCCGCCCTCAGCGCCGAGCTGGAGGCGGTGGGCGTGGCGCACCTGGGCACGGGCCCCGCCCCCGAGCCGGGGTCCGCCAACTTTGGCTCCCGCGCCCCGCTCGATCCTTCTGTGCGGGCGGTGCTGGTGGGCTACGACGAGCACTTCAGCTACGGCAAGCTCTGCCTGGCCCTGCGCTACCTGATGCGCGACGGGTGTCTCCTGGTGGGCACCAACCGGGACAACCGTCTGCCGCTCGAGGGAGGGAGCGCCGTCCCCGGTGCGTACACGCGTGTTATTGTGTATGTGTGCGCGCTTAAGTGCGTCAGACCGCATTTGAGCTTCAGCTGAGCGCGACCGTCCGGAAGGGCACAGGTGGTTGAGCGAGCATAGGACGTGACGGAGGACACGTTCACACGCTCACATTGAAAGCGCTACAATATCACTTGAACAGCCATAGTTTTCCCTAAAGAAAGCTGGGAGTTGTGGTTTAAAGGTGCCGAGAGTTGTCAGTAGACCTCTAGTTGCCTCAGTTCACAGTGTAGTGTGACAATCAGTCCCTCTTCCCAGGGAGCTCTGGGAATTGTAGCTATGTGAAGCGAATGGTGGTCTAGCAATGCTCAGCATCCTTAACAATTTATGGCTACCGTAAGTCTTTGGGCAAAGCCACAACTAGTTTAAAGTGGTGTACTGCTTTAAATGTATGGTGTGAATGGCCTGTGTCTGGCTACATCTGAGTGCATGCAGTCTCCCTTGCTTTCCCCTGCAGGAATGCTGCTTTTTAATGTTTTAATGTTTTGTTATCCTTCTAGCTTACCGTGTATTGGAAGCAATTTTTGAAATCCAGCCCAATTTTTATCATCACTACCCTGTTGAGATAGATTACGCAGTCCAAAATCACTCAGTGAGCTTCATAGAGAGCTTCATCTCAGGTCAAGACTAACCCTCATCCCAAGCTTCCTTTAGCCCATTTGTTCAACTCCTGTCAGCCCTCATTAGTATGGCTAAGTGTGAAGAATGATGGGAGCTGTAATAGGAACAGCGAGTGCTCCCTTATACTTAAATCATTAGCCTCTCTAGTTCAGGACCTGCTACATTGACTGGTAACTGCTTTCCATGATCAGTACTTTTACGGTATGTGGACTGCACGCTGCAACAACCTTTATTGGTAGTGGGTGAACACACATGAAAGAGAGGGAGGAGGCCTAAAATGAAGACAAAGTTCTGATTGGGTGCAGACAGGTGGAGGCCTTTCTGATGAGGAGGACCCTGCTAGGACCACCACACTAGCTGCTTCCTGATATGTGGGCAGATGTTTTCATTAAAAAAAGTTTAATGTCTTTTATCTGGGTGAATAGTTGCTTCAGGGGGAAAAAGTGCCCTCTGCTCTAGAACCTCAGCCCCTTAAAGGTAGCCTCACAGTTGTTTTGCTCTCAATTTGGTCTCTTCCCAACTATTTTCAGCATTTGTCACACACCATGGTATGACAATCCTATGTCAGTCTTTAGCTGTAGGGGTTGTCCAGTGGGATGTACTGACTAGTGGCTGTTGTGGAGTACCAGCAGCTACTTTAAAATGGTGCAGAGATTAGGATAGATGTGTGGGCTGGGGGTGGGTGGGATCATTTGTGAGGCTTGGCAGATTTGACCTGAAAGATTGCCTTTAACATTTCTGAGGAACAGGACTTTACATTGTTCAGCCAATGTGGGAGTGATACTGTTTTCTGTATGATTCCCTGCTTGGGTATTGCTCCGCACATGATTTGTGTTTGCCTTCTTTAGTAGTACAACATAGCTGAGTTCTCACAGCTGGCTTCCCCCACTGACAGGCTTTATAGACTACTGAGATGAGTTTGGGGTTTGCACTTGTTCCTCAGTGCTGTATCTGGCTCACAATTGCTTTGCTTCTCTTTTTAGGAACTGGCTGCCTTGTCAAAGCAGTGGAGACAGCAGCAGAGCGTGAAGCATTCATCATCGGCAAGCCCAGCCGCTACATCTTTGAGTGTGTGGGCAAGGAGTTCAACATCGATCCTGCTCGCACCATCATGGTCGGCGACCGCTTGGACACAGACATCCTCATGGGCAACAACTGCGGCTTGACAACTCTTCTGACCCTCACAGGGGTCTCCACCCTAGAAGAAGTAAAAGGTCACTTAGAGAGTGACTGTCCTGAGCGGAGAAAGCTAGTCCCCGATTACTATGTTGATAGCATAGCCGACCTTCTCCCCACCCTCCAGGATTAAAAAAGGGAAGTTTTCCAGCTTTTAAAATGTATCTTCTCCCCACCCCCTGCACCCTCAGTGGCTCGAGGCTGGTAGTATCACCTCAGTTACTGCAATGCACATGATTGCTGCTTGCAACTTCAGAGACTTTTAGTGTGTAACTTAGAATTCAAGGTCTCTGTTTACAAATTCCTTTAAAATGCACTTTGGAACAAAGAGGGAAGTGTGTTGTGTTGGTTAGCTTTCAGATGTTGTGAAGCATTAGGTATGTCTTAAACAACCGCAGTGTTAATGGCATCAGGGTAGAGTCTTGCTCAGCTGGGTTAAAGGGATTGGGCAGGCTTCTCTTAAAACTTTTCACTGTGGTTCTTTGTGGAAATTATATCCTCATCTGTGGGAAATTCAGGGAAATGAGCAGTAGGAGGGCAATTGCTCTTTTCTGACCTGTAGAACTTGACTTTAAGCTTGGCTTTGATGCTTACTCAGGTCCCGGTTTTAGGCAGCCTGCTTCAGATGTGATTTCAGGAAATAGAAAATCACTTGTGTGTTCAATAATTTTGTTGTTGCGCCTTTCCACACAGCCATTTGCACTTGCTTCAATATGCAAAACACGAAAGATGCTGTCGTGTTTCATGTATTCCTCTAAGAAAGTAGGGGGTGTGTGTGTATGTGTGTAGAAATATAAATATATATATAGCGATGTGAAGAACAGATATCTATTTTAAAAGTGAATTATAATATATCAAAAATAGAATTTATTGTTCAGGAGAAATATCAATAGATTTCCAAAAGATCTTGCTTGTGTTCTTCAGTACATACCACAGCAATACCTGCGCAGTCTGCAAGGTGAAGTACCATTTTAAGTAAGGATCATTTGAGGATTCCCAAATTGTGCTAATGGTTGAATTACACATGCAAAGTTACAAAAATGCCACAGTCACATGAAGGTCTTCCTACAAGTTGTAGTAGTTAATGATCCCAAGCATAAATTGTACCATCTGTGGGATCCTCTGGCATAAATATTTTGCGTTCAAGCCATTTTGAAGTCAGTGCTGATCAAGCAACTACAGTAACTTGTCCTGTGCTTCCTATTAAGATCTTAATAGTGGGTTGTTCAGAGGACACTGGAAGTCCTTTGCAGATCCACCTTGGCACCAATTGTCTGCTGAAAATGGGAGTTCAAGCCATTTTGTTTTGCTGTTTTGTAGGAAACATGATTAAATGCACTCTTGAAGTGTCTGGGTAGTTTTGTCCTTTTGACACTAAATGCCAAATTGTGTAATAACAGCTGAAGAAATCTGATATGGAGATGTAAGGATGAAAGCAGCACTCACTTTGGGTAAAGAACAGATGATGCTTGTTTGCTTTCATTTTCCAAATTGTGTGCACATCCATTGTGTGTAGATTATGCTTCCTGTATCACAGACACTTGAAACTTGCATGAACTTGCCACTTTTTGATGCAGCAATAATTGTGTTGTCCAGCGTGAAATATATTTTGTATTTATAAATATTATAGGATTGGCATTGACACTTACTTAGAAGTGCTAAAGATACACAATAACAACCCCCCACACCCAGCAAGGTACCCTTTATAATCTGTTTCTCAATAGAATTTTTTTTCTTCTTCAGCTTGCTGAACTGATTTGTAAGCCTAAAGGTTTTCTCCATCTTCGATGATAATGCAAACGGTTTCTTTCTTTCTGTTTGGACTGACTTGAAAATAACATGATGTCCTTTTGCTAGGACTTGTGCTTATGCAAATCTGGGGAGATTGAGGAATTGTTCCATATATGATAAATGTTGTTTAGAAACCTGTCAACAACTGCTCATACTTACTAGCCATGCAATAGAGCCTTTCACCTCTTTTCACTGTTTCTTCCCTTGTTGTGAAACTGTGCTGGTGAAAGACCAAGCAGTCTGTGTAAAAGCATCTGGGGAAATTCAGTCCTGTTCTTGAGTCATATTAAACAAGAAGTCTCTCTTTTTTCTTTGTGTTGTTGCCTTTTAATTTTGCATGCTATGAACCTCATTCGTGTTCATCAAAAATAATATGCAAAATAAGCCTTTTACCCTGTTTTTTTAAATTGGAATTGTTTCCATAAGGTTTCATTTGAATTGTCTGTAGCTTCATGATCGAATGTGGAAGAGACCTGCTTGAGAGCTAAATTGTGCAATGTTGTAAATATCCAGGAGACACCAGTGCGAAGAAGATTTTTCTTTTATTTAAATTGGCGGTGTGTTCTCTCCCGTTTCAAATTAATAGTTTGAATTTCTGGTTCCTAATGTAAGGTTAGTGAGAATTGTTTTTTGGTAAAATAAGACTAGCAATCCTATATACCGTATTTTTCGCCCTATAGGACGTACTTTTTCCCCTCCAAAAATGAAGGGGAAATGTGTGTGCGTCCTATGGGGCGAATGCAGGCTTTCGCTGAAGCCTGGAGAGCGAGAGGGGTTGGTGCGCGGGAAGCTATCCGCAAGCTTGCAAGCAGCAAGTTCCCGCGGGCTCGCAAGGCTTGTGGGCAGCAGCCTGCAGCCCGAAGCATGGGGCGCCCTCCGGAGGGAGTTCCCACGGGCTCGCAAGGCTTGCGGGCAGCAGCCTGTTCTGGGGGCTGGGGTGGGGGGAAGCTCGGGCGGCTGGGGGGGGGGGGAAATAATTTTTTTTTAATTCATTTCCCCCAAAAAACGAGGTGCGCCCTATGGGCCAGTGCGCCCTATAGGGCGAAAAATACAGTAACTTTGTGTAGAAATAAGTCCTACTGTTGTCAGTGGAGTTTATTGTTTACAGTTGCAGCCTTAATCTCCCTTTTTAGAACTCCGTACCTCTTTACACATACAGACTAGGTTCAAAAATAATGGCTAATTGTGGTTTATCCATCAGGTCTGAACCTTGTGTTTGCTTGTCACGTCATCCCTGGAGGTTTTGGATTTCTGAAAATTTTTTGATTCAGAATTAGTGCCCTAAGGCAATAGAGATCTAATTTAGCATGTTTTTACTTATTTTTAGTGAAAATAAATCTCCAGATGTTTTGTGCTACAACTTCCATCACTTCCAGCCAGCACATTCTTTAAAGAATTCACCACCCTGAGCTGGTATTTGGCTACATATTGCAAAGTTGATGACTGGTTTGCTTTTAGCTATTTAGAGACATGAAAGGGCTGTTTAGCCACAGCTGAGCAGGAGCAGAATGGGTGTTCTGAGGAAATGGTGCCAGAGGAAAATGTGCCCAGCCTTAACTTTGAGCCATGAAATGCACGAGTGTGTGTGTTAATTATGAGAATGAGCATGTCTGCATGAAAGCATTTTTCTTCTGGCCCCCACCCCTTTTTCTAATAGGCCTCAAGCAAACACCGCAGGACAGCGGTATGATCTTTTGCCAGAAGAAATAGCTTGGAAGCAAAAGATGGCAGGTGCTTCATAAGACAATGATGACAAGCTGTCATCATAGCCTTGCCCCAGATGATCTTGGGGCAAGCTCACTGTGGAAATAGCCAAGGCTTCAGGCCATTTCATTGGACGTGAAACAAAGTAAACTGGGCCAGTGCTGGTGAGCTGCTCCACTGACTCTACAAGTAGAGATTCTTTCTATGGGCCTTTGGATTCTATTTTCTAGTTTCTCTTTATTCCTGTTCTCCACCTATCATAGGTATGTGCCCACTTCGCTACTTGCATTTACTGACATGGATGATTCTCCTCTGCTTCCTCCCAGGAGGCTGTGGTGCAACTTGAAAACTGCCAGCACCTGCAAGTGCCTCATTTGAATGTGTGCTAGCTCCTATCACACTCCCATCTCACACTCCCATCTTAAAACTTGACCAGCTGCAGACAAGGATGGCTTGAGAGAAACAACCTTTATTCTCTCTTCCCCACCTTCTGCAAAAAAACCTTGGTTTTTAAAAAAAATCTAGCCTGATCATTCTCGGTGTCAATGGCCATGCTGCCATCTTAAAATGGGACGATCCAGTTTCCCAAATGGTTGAAATCGCAAAGTTGTCTCCTACTTCCTCTTCCTTCAGAGTCCTCAAAAAGACACCTTTGCTTGACATGCAGTACTAAAATATATTTATATTTGATAATTAATCACATCAAGTAACATTTTCCTGTTTCTGACCATATTAATTCTGCAGAGGTTCGGAAGGTGACAGGTCTGAATGGCAGGTTCTCTCCAGGAGCAGATGTCTCAGACCTCTGGGCAGGCTGGCACTCTTCTCTACTTGTTTTCACTTCCTTCCCTCCCCCCACCCCAAATGAGAGAGATGTCTGGCCCATACCAAGGGCGGCTGCCAAAATGCAAAGGTCTCACACAAAGCCCCCAATTGTGTTCCCCATGAATGTGTTAGCTGTCTCACAAGGAAGGACAGCGAAAGCATCACCGTGCCCAGGACAGCATCTTTCTGCAGCCTCTGTTCCCTCCCACCATTTAGAGCATCTAACGTTTCACCACCACGTGGCTCCTTCTCCAAGTCAAGGTGCCAGGGTGGGCAGTAAAATGGGGCATGTTCTCAGGTTTCAAACCGGATTCCGAGGGATTTGATAATGCACAAGCTCTATACTGTCAGAAGGCAGAGTCAGAGGAGCAAAGAGGGCATCAAGAATGGAGGAACAGACTGTGGCCCACATCACCCCCTGTCCTGTAAGTACCCTGCCGCCTTTTCTTTCCCCACAACCCAGCACCTGTCCCTTGATGGGTTCCTGATCTGTTTCTCTTGGGATTTTTCCTTTTAAAGGAGTGGAGTGATGCACAGTCACACAGGAAAACTTGCAAATGGATTGTGTCCCACATTATTGGGACGCCTGGAGTTCTCAACTTGGGCACCAAAATACTCAGGGCGTCTTGGGATCAGGGTAGAAGTGAGAGAACGATACAGGTTGAGAAAGGGAATTGAGAGAATGCTCTGATCCAAATCCTTTCATTGCCCCAGGACAGGGGTACCCGATGTGATGCTCTCGAGATGTTGAGCCCCCAATTCCCATCAGCCCCAGCCAGCAATACCAGTAGTCTAAGGTAGTGTGGTTTGTGGTCCCACAACATCACAAGGGCACCATGTCGGCTGTTCCTACCCCAGGACTATTGATGCAGATCTTGGTGTTCCTGGAGATTGAAGGTACTCCGTAAGCAAGAATGATCAAACTTAGTGAAATCTTTCATAACCTTAGGGAAATTATATATGTTATAGGAAGTCTTACCATCAACATTAAACTAATACTTTGTCAGGCAGCTGCCCTCCAGATGTATTGTACTATAAGCCCCAGCCAGCACAGGTCCAAAACATCAAACTACAAGGTTGGGGAAGACTGTTTTATACTTTATATTCTGAATCTCTTGCATTTACTTAGGCAAAGTACAATATTAAACATTTTAGTTTAAAAGCCTGCCTAAATATCTTATACTGCAATCCTTTACTTTGGAGTAAATTCCTCTGAACACAGTGGGACCTGTTTTTGAGCAAGCCTGCATAGGATTGCTGTCTTAATTTCAGTTCTGTGCACTAAAGATTTTAAATCAAGCCAGACTTCTCCAAAAACTGATAACTACACTGCTTGAGATCCCTATGCTTTTGCAGAGTAACAACTTGAACACCAAAATAATACAAAGACTTAGATACCAAGGGAAAGAGGAAGATGTATGATCCATGGAATCCCTGTGGATCATGACAAAAAACATTTTGAATACCTTGTATTACCTGACTTTACATAGTCCACAGCTTTCAGAAAACCAGGGATCACTCATCCAGCAATGGGATGAGAATGAGTTAATTTCCATGTCAACAAAACATTATTATTATTAATAATAATAATTTATTATTAATTACCTGCCCTTAGGTTCCAGGGCAGGTTACAACCATATAAACTGGGTAGGCAAGCCCTGAGCTGCTTATATCGCATAACTACACCTTCTGTAACCATCAAGTACATCCATGTTTGCATTTTTGTCATGCCATTTTATTGTACTTCATTTTCTTAACCAGAATAGGAAAGGGTTGGAGTCCTTCAAATGAAGGTTGCATGTGGTGTTTCCCACTAATACTTTTGATGTTCAACTTATTGGTTTCTGTTTGACTGATGGGCTTATCTTGGCTCTTAGGAGAGAGCCTTGCCGGCAGAATCCAAAAGCCCTTCCAGGACATTTTGGGTTGTTCTTTCTGTCATTTTAATCTGTGGAATCATCTGCATTGCTGTGGCAGCAACTCTCAGCTTCGCAAAAACATCTCCCAAGGTAAGGAGATTCTCTTACCCGGGGAACGCAATACTCTGTTCACCATCCAATTTTGCCTGCAAGGAGTGGCTGAAACTGTTCATCAGTTATCAGCAAAATAAGGTTGCAGTCCTCTATACCAGCCTTCCCCAACAGTGCAACCAACCAGCCCACTCCACCACCCCACCGATGCTTTGGACTACAACTCCCATGAGCTGTTTACAGCTGGAGGGAGAAGGCTGTTCAGCATGCTGGGCTGGGAGTATGTCCCATTGAACTCAATGGGACTTGATTTGATTTATTAGGTTTGTTTATTGCTTTATATTATTACCACTGGAAAACTCTTTATCTGTATCCCCTTCCCTGTATTCTTGCAATGATTTATGTACGAACAAGTATGTGTTGCACATGGGAGAGCATTTTCTTTCATCTGCCCTGCGCGTTGCATCAGCAACATGTTCTTCTGTTTTGAGAAGGAGTAAATTACTCCTGTCGTCTCCCTTCTTGCACCAGTTGTGATTTTGCAAACCTCCTTGCAAACACTCCATTAAAACATCTGTTTTCTAAGCTGAAGAGCTGAAAGACGTAAGTCTTCCTCTTTCTGGCTGTTGCCATGACTATCTTTAGCTGTTCTAGACGCACCCCCCCAAGAAAAGGACCAGGGAGGGGAGCACACAGACTCTTGCTGCAGCCCATAGACCAGGCAGTTTCTCCCACCCCCACCCCCAACCAGTTTTAACACTGCATATCTTCATAGCCTCTTTTGCAGGTTGTCCGGTTAAACTTCCAGAACCGACCAGGGTCCCGGATGAACCAGTCGGCTTTCATGGACAAGTCCAAGAACACAGTTACTTATTGCATAACTTCCCCAAGTAACCAAACAACGTCAGTCTTGTTTGACAACAAGAATGTGAGTGTCCTGGTGGTCCTTGCCTTTCCAAATTGTGAGGAAGGGGATGGGGGAAGGGTGCACAATGCTGAGAAATTGCCGGTGCAGCCACAAAGCCCACCAAAGCCGTGAAGCTGGCGGGTGCTCCTGGCCAAGCCACTTGAATGGGAAATCCTCATGGCCTGTCTGCCTCCCAGGATTTTTGTGATGGTAAAAGAAGCAATATTTGTGGCATTCCTTTATCCTCTTCAAGTGCCACAGAATTTTTTTATCAGCAGGTTATATATAAATATAGGGGAAGCTGATGCAGTTTCCTGGCATGCAAAGGAGCGTGGTGGAGCACTGAGGAGCCGGTGTTAGAAATAGTAAAGTGATCTATGTCTGAGCAAGCCGCCTCTTGCCCTCCTGCTGCTCAAGTGGCTCAATGAAATGAGCATCCCTCTGGATGTGCAGGAGGCCCCCAGAACGTGTGGGTTTCAGTGTAACTACAGAAATTTCAGCCACTCTGAGCAGTGTTGGACATGCAGGCCCCTAGAACACACACACACACACACACACACACACACACACACACAGCAGGGTTCATCCCAGGAATCTTTGATAGAATAAAATGCCCAGGGGCATGTGCAGAGTGCATTTTCCTCTGCACACAGCCATAAGACCCTAAGCATGTACGTATTTACACACACAAAATCAGTATTGGAAGTCAAAACCTCCAGTTGAGGAAAGATGTGGCTTCCAGATCAGAAACCTCTGCATCTTTCTCTCTGCAAATGAAACACAATGGAGCAACTCTCAGAGCCTGTGCCTGAAAGAAGTTCAGGAAAAACAACTATGAGAATGTATTGCAGGGGTGGCTAACCCACAGCCCTTCAGGTGATGCTAGGCCACAGCACCCATCATCTCTGCCTGCCGGCAATGCTGGGACTGGGAGTCCAGCATCTCTCACGGGCCACGTATTAGCTCCCCCAAGTGCATTGCTGGTGCTACAGGAGGCAGAGAGGACAGTACTATGTTCACTTAGTGGATCAAGCAACCTGCCAACAAACAAAACAGGCTTATCTAGTTTCTTCTGTTCAGGGCTACGTCTGCTACAAGCCCTCAGAGCAGAACAATTGCTACCTGCGGATGATGGATGACCGAGACCGAGACACTGTCCAGATGTCCTTCAACCTATCAGAACACAGGGTAAGCACAGAATGCTGAAGCAGCCTCCATAGAATCCAGATTCTCTATAGTCTATTGTCTATTTTCTTAGTTTAAATGAATTTTGAAGAAGCATCACCTGGAAAGCCAGGAATATTTCATCTCCCACAAGAGGTGATGAAAGACACTAACTTAGGCTTTAAAAGGGGAATTATTTGTTCCCTTTAGGATGCATCTTAATCAGGAGTGCCTAACCTCTGGCCCTCCAGATCTTCCTGGACTCCAGCTCCTGTCATCATCCCTGACTGCTAGCCAGCTACTGAATCTGAAAACCCAACAGCAACTGGAGGGCCACAGGTTCTAGAATTGTAGATTTCAAAGGGACCCCTTGAGTCATCTAGTCCAACCCCTGCAATGCAGGAATCCTTCCCACAGCTGTCTCTGGGTGGGTTCAAAACACCAACCTTCTGGTCAACAGCAAAATGTCTTTGTCTAGCCCTGTTGGGCATTCAGAACATACGATGTCACTTCTGCATGAGGCTAGTGGCCCATCTAGTCCAGCATCTTGTTCTCACAGTGGCCAACTAGATGTCCTTTCCAGCAGCTCATTTTCAGAAGCATTGCTGCTTCTGAGCAAGGTATCAGAGCGTACCCATTGTGACTAGTAGCCATGGATTGCCTTTTCCTCCTCCCTCAATGTGTCCAATCCTCTTTTAAGGCCATCCAAGTTGGTGGCCATCATTACCTCCTGTGGGCGTGAGTTCCATAGGTTAACTGCATGAAGAAGAGCTGTCCTTCATATTATCCTTCCTGAATCTTCCAACATTCAGCTTCAATGGATGCCCATGAGTTCTAGTGTTATGAGAGAGGGAGAAAAACTATTCTCTCTGTGCCTTCTAAGCCAAGATGAGTGGGTTACTCCTATCCATTTCCTTTAAGTAAAAGGAAAAGGAGACGAAAATGTAACATAGTGGCGGGTGAGGGGGCCGGAGACAAGGAGAGGAAACCCTCTTTCCAGCTCGTGGGCAATTGAAGCCAAGGAAACAAAGGTGCTTTTGTCAGTGATTCCACAGCAGCATAAGTCTGAGTAATGATGCATAAGAGTCCTCCAGACAAAATGTTAATGGCTTCAGGTGAGGGGCGAGGGCAGAGGTTTGATTTCGGAAAGACAGAGGCCCCTGTTCTGCCGGGAACGTCAGGACAAAGCTCAGTGGGGTTGGTTTACCGCCCCCACTTCCATTTAGCAGGGAGGCAGCGCTCCTGGCCAGCTCTGCCAACGCTCCCCCAGAACTTTGGAAGAAAGTAAATGGGGAGGAATGTGAGACACCCGGCAACCTTGTTAATGAAAGACTGTTTTGAAAAGGTCTGGTTCCCATATGTCAGCTGTGTAAACAGAAGTGATGTTAGGGACCTTGGGGTGAAGGGCAGGAAATAAATCTTTAAAATATACAATTTCTTCATGCAGCACGAAGTTAAACTATAGAACTCACTCCCGCAGGAGGCAGTGGCAGCCACCAACCTGGATGGCTTTAAAAGAGAATTAGATAATTCCATGGAGAAAAGGGGGCTTTCAATTATGCTCTCTCTGCCTCCACAGTTGGAGACAGCAATGCTTCTGAATACTAGTTGCAGGAAACCACAGGAGGGGAGAGGGCTCTCGTGTTTGGATCCTGCCTGCAGATTTCCTGCAGGGCCATCTAGTTGGCCACTGTGAAAACAGGATGCTGAATTAGATGGGCCATTGCTCTAATCCAGCAGGCCCTTATGTTGTAATAATAAGATTGTTAACGTCAGACTTCCAGCCCCTCACACTTACTAAAGGAGAGGCTATGCCATGGATAGTTGAAGGTGATGCATTCACTGTTTCAGTCACTTGCCACTTTTCTTTCTCATATGTGACTTATGGGTGGATGCATGCAATGCTCTGCATGTTTTGTTGAGGTTGAACAATGCCATTTTATTATAAGACGAATAAAATATTTACCATTTTTTTAAAAAAAGGACAGGTTAGTGTGGCCTGGGGCAATGGCATAACTGCAGCTCCCCAGTCCCTGACCCCTTGGCAGAACTAGATGCTGGTGTTCATCTGTCCACACCAGCCTTCTCAAAGCTGGTGCCCTTCAAATAATAATAATGTACCCTGCACATCTGACTGGGTTGCCTTAGCCAGATGTTTTCGACTACAACTGCCAACATCCCTAGCAAGCACTGCCGTGATATGAGCTGTAGACCAAAACCTTTGCAGGGCACCAGCTGGAGTGAAGGTTGGCTTATACCAGCATCTGTTCAGTGCTTCCTTTTGATGGTCACTAATGAAGGATTAAGGAATGCAGAGCCCTGACACTTGGTGCTTCTTGTTCCTGCCAAGGTGGATCAGCTGCCGCTTCCCAACGACAGGACCCAGTACTACCGTGAGTTCCTGGGGATCGTGCCAGGGAGGCAGGTGCGACCAGAAGAGGCAGGGGAGGCTGTCAGGTCCTTGTGTGGGCAGGCGCCCATCTACTGGGTCAAGAAAAAAGACGGTGAGTGGCCTCCTGGACCCCAGCCCCTAACAGACGCAGCCAGCTGGGGAAGGGTCATCGTAGCTCAGTGGTAGCCCATCTGCCTTGCATGCAAGAGGTCCCAGGAGGTTCAATTGCCAGTGGCATCTCTAGGTAAGTCTGGGAAACCCTGGACAGCAGCTGCCAGTCAGTGTAAAGAACACTGAGCTTCATGGACTAAAGGTATGACTGTATAAGGCAGAATCTCGCAGCATGTTGTGAGGATGAAATAAAGAGGAGGAAGAGGCATGTAAACCTCCTCAAGCGAAAGGTGGGATAGCAATATAATTAATTCAAAAACTCCTGCCTCTCAGCATGCCCCTACATCAGCTAGGGTAAATAAAAATAATCCCAAACCAGGTTGTATTCTGAGGACCATGTAGAAAGGTGGACAACAGGTATCCAATTAAGAGCTTTCAGGCTTGCATTCAATCTGCTGAGCAGAGCTCCAGTCCCTCAGATTGAATTCCCCTAGGATGAGAAGTGCTAAACAAGCTGGGGTGTCTCCCACTGTCTTAAGAGCTCAGAGGTGGGGAGACACCCTTTCTGGAACACTGGAGCCTTTTGGTTTCTTGGATGGGAGATGTACAGCAGCAGAGCCCGAGATCTACTTCTTGAAATTTAAATACGCAAAATTATTGAAAGTCGGTGGTTGCCTTTTTCCAGATTCTGCAAGAGAGCTGCATTAATACGCGGCCTCCCGCTCCCCCCCAAATAATCAGTTTTAATAGTAAACGCTCTGCATTTGGATGCCGTCCATGCACTAACCACACCCGTCGCACACCTGTTCTCCTTGTAGGTCCTCCAAAGCAGCGGCTAATCTACCTGTGCATCGACATCTGCTTTCCGAACAACATCTGCGTCTCCATCTGCTTCTACTACCTTCCCGAATGAATGGCCTGGACCACCCTCTGCACCTCTGCTCTTCTCTACTTGAATACAAGGGCGAGGCTCTGCTGTCTCCGCCAAGCCCACGTTGCAATTCAGGGCTCTGGATTGGGCAAGAAGGGCTACAGGAACCTTCCCCAACCTGGTACTCTCTGGGTGCTTTGGACTACAATTCCCATCACCACAGCTGTGCTTCCTGGGTCTGATGGGCTTGTAGTCCAACAGCACCTGAAGGGCACCAGGTTGAGGAAGCTTGAACTACAGCGACACTCAGTCAAGATGGCAGTATATACATATGTGTGTGTGTGTATATATACTGTATGTATATGTATACTCCTGCTTTATTTACAAAGAGTGTTGCCCTTTCAGCTATAAGCCTGTAAATAATTGTCTGTGGGGAGAAGAAACTGCGTGGTGTAGATCCAGTTAAAAATCTGAGTCAAACAAACATTTTGTAAATCAAAGTATTTTTTAAGAAAAACCACAAACCACTCATTTTAAGGAGCTACCCTGGTGTGTGTGCATGTGTGACAATAATTAAAAGCACAAAAAATGAGGAAATGAGCAGCTTGAGATGTGTGTTAATAGCAGCAAGGGAGGGAGGGAGAAAAGAGAGGAACCAAGAACTCCTGTGTCCCACCCCCCAGGGCTAAAAGCACGCTTGCACTTCTCCAAGCACACTTCCCTGCTGGAGGTCCTTTTCAGTCCTTTTTTTTCCAATTCTGTGGACCGGAATGACAGCAGTACACTGCTTGGCTAGCTCAGTTACTCAACCAGCCTTCCTTAAGCTGGTGCTCTCCAGCTTTTTTGGACTACGACTTGATGCCAGTCACAGACAGCATTGCCATAGGGTGCTGGAGCTTATGGGAGTTGTAGTCCAAAACAGCTGGAGAGTACCATATGGGGGAAGGCTGCATTTAAATAGTCTGGTAACTAATAAAGGCACTTCTGAGCCCAGAACAGGGTGCGGCCCCCCAACGCCGGGGAGAAGCCATTGCTCACTCTCCCCACGCCTGGCTCCAGCATTGAATGTCAGGCCTAACTGCATTTTTACTTGCAACTTGATTCAGTTAGATTCAGCTCTCACATAATGCTGCCCTCCAAACCCTGGATTGTCCAATGATGCCAATGTTGGAAAAATCAGGAGGGACAGAAGCAAGTTCTAGCTGAACTATGGGAAGTTGCTCCAACAAGATGCAGTGATGGCTACTGACCTGGATGGATTTGAGAGGGGTCTCTACTCTAGACAATTCATGGAGGATGAAAAGGGTTATCAATAACTACTAGTCAAAACAGTAACCTCCAGGAGCAGAGGAGAAATCACAGAATTGCAGTGTTGGAAAGGACACAAAGGGTCATCTGGTCCAACCCCCGCAAAACAGGAACCACAGTGATGAGTTTTCCTGTGCTCACATCCTACTTGTGAGCTTCCCACTGGTGCAGCTGGCCTAGATGGGCCTCTGATCCAATCCAGCAGTTTATAACCATGAAAGCAATGAGGGTAAACCATTTTTCTTCCAACTGCAGTGAGCCTTCTGGAGCAGGAGGTGGCAAGCTTGCAACAGAGGCCGCCTACCTTTGCTCCTGGCGTGGGAGAAGGGGGGAGGGATGTATGCACATTAGTTGGAATGTCCGCTTAGCCGTTTACGTTGGGCAACGGTGAATGGAAGGAACAGAGGGCAGCCTCACCTAAACAAAAGCAGTTCCCCAAAGAGAGCAAGTTGAAACCCTGTGTTGGGAGATCCATCCCATACAGTAACATCGGTGCTGAGTGTCACAGTTTCTCCTTACAAACCACTCTTTGTTATGCGATACTTTTGCACAAAGATCTTACGCCAAACAAAATCTGGGGGTTCTGTTTTAAAACTGCCTGCCACTGTGCAAAGATGGTTAAGGTGGCTTCAATTTTACTTGAATCCGGCTCTTCTGCAGAAAGGCAGCTGTGGGTGGCAACACAGTCTTTGCACACCTGACCCCCCCCAAAAAAACCAGTCTTGCAGCAATCTTGTGAACGCAGCCTTCCTTCTCAGCCCAAGACGCTGTCATTGAAAGCAAGGCACACGACCGCTTTCTGATGCCCACTGTATTCCCGCTTGATCTCGCCTGTTTCCACACACCAGAGCCTGGCCAGATTATCCGAGGAGGCTGGGGAAGGAAAAGGGACACCGTGAAGCCACACATACAAACACACACAACAATCGGCAATATATGGGTGACACTGAACTGCTTTACAAGGTTGCCGTAACTATTAGTGAGCTACTTCATAAAGCATTTATAGAATTATATACAGTGGTACCTCGGATTACAGACGCTTCAGGTTACAGACTCCACTAACCCAGAAATACTACCTCGGGTTAAGAACTTTGCTTCAGGATGAGAACAGAAATTGCGCCGCAGCGGCAGCAGGAGGCCCCATTACCTAAAGTGGTACTGTAATTTTCGCTCTATAACACGCACATTTTTTCTCCTAAAAAGTAAGGGGAAATGTTTGTGCGTGTTACTGAGCGAATGTGTGGCCCCTGGAGCCGACTGGTCTGAGTGCAGGAGCAAAAATCAGATCGCGCGTGTCGCGGAGGAGGGAAGGCTTCAGAAGCGAGGCTGCTGCTTTCCTGCATTCTGCCTCAAGGTCTTACTGCCCACCCTCTTCGGTTGCTGTGTTTGCTCAAACGCAGCAAAGAGCAGGGAAATCCCCTGCCCTCCTGGCAAGCAGAGGGGAAAGGAAAGGATTGCGTCCTTCCTTCTAATTCCTTCTTGGTCACACTGCACGCAGGCTCCAGCCCACCCGGCTCAGGTTCCGTTGGCTAGGAGCGCAGCCTACAGTCACCACCTCCTCCTATCCGTGCTGCTGCTGCTGCGTCCAGCATTCTAGGGACTCGCACGCAGCCGGAAAACATGCAGGTGGGAGGGAGACAGACAAAGAGAGAGAGAGGGAGGGAGGGAGAGGGCTGGCTTGGGTGGGTGGGGGGAAACTTGCCTTCCTTTCCTCCTTCCCGTTAAACCCCTCTCCTGCATTGTTAGCCAGCTGCACACCCCTCTCATGCTCTTTGTCCCTTCTGTGTTTTTCCTTCCCTCCCCACTTAAAACATGGTTACAAAGCACGGATCCACATGGATCCTCAGGATCTTTGCATTGGGTCACCCCAAATTCACCATCAGATCACATAGCATGTCCATGGGTACAGCCTGCACCAAAAAAATCACGCACCCACTGTTGCAAAAACGTGGTTACAAAGCACAGATCCACATGGATTCTCAGGATTTTTGCATTGGGCTACCCCAAACTCACCGTCAAATCACATGTCTGTGGCCACAGCATGAAGCACAAAAATGATACATCCACCGTTTCAGATTTTTTTTTTCTTGTTTTCCTCCTCTAAAAACTATGTGCGTGTTATGGTCAGGTGCTTGTTATAGAGCGAAAAATACGGTACCTCAGGTTAAGAACAGTTTCAGGTTAAGAATGGACCTCCAGAACGAATTAAGTTCTTAACCCGAGGTACCACTGTACTGTTTAACAATGTGTACGTTGTTCAAAATCTTCGTGTTTTTAGTAGGTTGGGAAGGAGAAATGAGACGGGCATCATTTGATTTTCTACATAAGGTTTCAAAATAGCTTGGCCTGGCCACAGGGGGCTTAATGTCCCTCGTCATCCTTCCTATTAATTCTCCAAGGAAAGGTGGGTCCACCCTTGTTCACCTGTGACAATGTACTGAGAGTCCCCTGAAAACGCGCAGTCCCACATCCAGCCGCGGGAGGTTTCCCCTGGGTTGTTGCTCTTGATGCTCAATTCTGTCATCAGAGAGAAGTTAGACGTCCTCCATATCTTGCAGGTTTGGTCAGCAGAACAGGTCGCCAAAAGCCTGGAACAGAAGACAGAAGACGAGTCAGAGTGGGGCACGGCAGGTGGAACACAGGCTAGAAGTGTCACCCAAAATAACCGATAACATAAAGTCCCTATTTATACTGCCGGATTTTAAAGAATGTATTGATTATTTTCATCCCCTCCTCAAGGTGGCATACACAGTTCTCCCCTTCCTCATTTAATCCTCACAACAACCCTCTGGTGTAGATTGAGGCTGAGGCAGTGACTGGCCCCCCAAGGTCCCCCAGTGGGCTTCATGGCAGAGTGGGAATCTGAACCCTGGTCTCCCAGGTCCTGGTCCAACGCTCTAACCACTACAGCACACTGGCACTAAATGGAGAAAGCTTCCATAGTTATGGGTCCCAAAAAGAATCCTTATAGGGAAGGTCTGTAGCTCAGTGGTAAGAGAATCTGCTATGCAGGCAGGCAGCCTTATGGCATCTGCAGATAGGGCTGGGAATGCTGTCTCCCGCCCCCACCATATGAAACCCTAGAAAGCCAGTCCTACTCACGTGGAGTCTGGGCTGAATTTGCACTGGAGAGCATAGCGGCTGTGCGCAGGAATCTTGGTCTTTGGGATGAGCTGCGTCACCTCGTCACCTATGCCACCTGTGAGATTCCACACGTAACAGTTTCCCTGCAATGGGAGGGGAATGAAACATCTGAGAGGCCATCTGCCTGCCAAATCCCTTGAAGGCTTAGATCTGGTTGTCACATGACACCAAGCCATAGTTAGTTAACCTAACTGGCATGTGCAAACCCAGCCCAGCATGGTTTGAGGTAACTATGGTTTGGCAAACTGAGGAGCCTTGCTTAACCATGATTTGTTTGACCAACCCACCCCAGGCCTTCGCTGAGCTACAGCGGCCCGAGGCAAGAGCATCTGGAAAACAAAAACTTTGGATGGCTTGTTTGTTCCTCTGTCAGGCAACTCATGGTTTGTTGAACAAACCATGGTTAAAACAAACCCTGGTTTAGTGCAACGTGCAGACACAGCCACTGTGGACTCTTTAAACAAGACACTGGCCGAGAAGCAATAGGCAGGCTGTAGCGCATCACTGCACCACAAAGCCAGCCAGCACTTACTGAACTGTTAACGGCAGCCATGTAGCTGGCATCAGGATCAATATGAACAGAGTTGACAGAGACTTCCGGCTCTGGGATGAGCTGTTCATTGTGGTCCGTCTTCAAGTCCCAGATGTGAATGGCCCCACTCTGGTCCCCAACGATAAGTTCTGCCTGTGGACAGAAACACACACAAAAAGGGCCATCACCTCTCAAGACGACAGACCCTGCAAATCCCCACCATTTGGAAGACTGCATGAAAAGGGGAGATGTTCCCAGGGGATGGTCTGAAGGCACGTGAGGCCACCTCCCTGCTGAAGCTAAGCAGGTCTGGGTCTGGTCAGTGCCTGGGTGGGTGACTGTCTGGAAACCCAGAAACCCACCCTTTTGGATTCCACAAGGGACGAAAGGTGGAATAGGAATGTCAGAAAATAAAAGTATCTAGAATGTGTGGATGGGAGGGCTTCATGTTGACTGGTTTGGGTTTCTCTAGCCTGGTGAGAGGTGATATGAGAGCCACCTTCGGATATTGGAAGAGCTGTCACATGGAAGATGGAGCAAGCTTGTTTTCTGATGTTCCGGAGGGGAGAACCTGAACCCATGGATTCAAATGAAAAGAAAGGAGATTCTAACTAAACATTAGGAAGACATCCCTGATGCCAAGAGCAGTCTTCACTGGAGATTGGATGGCCACATGTCAGTGACTTTAGCTGGAATTCCTGCATTGCAGGGGGTTGGCCTAGGTGACCATTGGGGTCCCTTCCAACTCTACAAATCTGGGATTCATACCTGATTGGGATGGAGGCAAACACAGTTGATGGGGGCATTCACTTGAAAAATGCGCTGGCACTGGAGGTTGCGGGACCTGTAACAGAACAGATGCAGGCAGAATGACAGGTGAGCCAAAGCATAACCCCTTCACTGCCATTACTCCAGGGAGCTCCAAAGCACTTTTTGTGAACTTCATTCCCTAGGAAAGCCTCCTATGCAATCAGATCTTATATTTCAAAGAAACATCTCCTGGCCAAATCCTCGGTGGAGCGCATTAAACAATGCTTAGGGGATCACATCCTAAATGTGCAGATTCCTCTTCCTGAACTAAAGGTAAAGGGACCCCTGACCATTAGGTCCAGTTGTGACCGACTCTGGGGTTGCGGCGCTCATCTCGCTCTATAGGCCGAGGGAGCCGGCGTTTGTCCACAGACAGGTTCTGGGTCATGTGGCCAACATGACTAAGCCGCTTCTGGTGAACCAGAGCAGCGCACGGAAACACAGTTTACCTTCCCGCCGTAGCGGTACCTATTTATCTACTTGCACTTTGACGTGCTTTCGAACTGCTAGGTTGGCAGGAGCTCACCCCGTCGCAGGGATTCGAACCGCCGACCTTCTGATCGGCAAGTCCTAGGCTCTGTGGTTTAACCCACAGTGCCACCGGTAAACTTACATTGTGATCCATCCCCCATCCATCCCCCCCCCCCAATCATAATTTAAAGTTCACCCTCAATATATCCACTCCTGCAACTCAGGATAACAGATCATGCATCCAATGAAGTGGCATGTCATCTCTAAATCTTATACCATTATAAATTTCTTTGCCTTAAGGTGCAACAGACTAACACAGCAACCCCTCTGAAATTCAGCAGTTTGTTCACTCCCAAAGCTCCCAAACTTTAGGTCAGACAAGCTGGACTTCTCCCCCTCTTCCTTCTACTCTCCTTTCTCTTGTAACATTAAACAAGACTGTCAAGAATTAAACTGGCAAGCCACTAGATGCAGATTCAGCATGCAGGCTGCAATCCTAAAACTTTAGATAACCACTTTTAATTCTGAGTTCTGTATTCTATGATCTTACAATTTCTGGATGTTTTAAATGATTTTATTGTACACCACCAGATTTTTTTTTGCAAGTTGGTATATAAATATTCTTATAGATAAATTAATTCACTAGGAAGGAAAGCTCATTAAACTCAGTGGGATGGGAGTTTTGCTTGAGGTCACGCTGGAAAACCCTTGGCTCAGACAACCTTGTTCCTGCACTGGGAGTCAAACTTCAAGTCTCTTCCAGTTCTGTGGTGCCAGCCTAAACTGAGACAGCATCTGATTTAGGCTGCAAGAACCACTGGCCATGACCCCATGACACCTGCCTTCTTGCCTACAATGCTGCTTAAGCATGATTTGAGGAAAGAAACTCCTGTGTATCTTGCAGATCGTCAAACTCACTGACTTTCCTTGCAGATCCATGGTCATAAGAAAAGCTTTGATGCTGTATCAGGTCAATGGCACATCAGAAGTATTTCTGCCTCCAACCACAGAGGCAAAGCATAGCCGATGTGGCTATTGGCTATCACTATTTTTCTCCTCCACTAATTTTTTCTAATCTCCTTTTAAAGCGATCCAGTTTGATGGCCATCACTGCCTCCTGTGGGTGTAAGCTCCATAATTTAACTGTGCACTGTATGATGAAATCATTTCTTTTTTCTGTCCTGAGTTTTCCAACATGCAGCTTCACCGGGTCTCCTGTGAGAGCGGGAGAAAAACTTTTCTCTATCCCCTTTCTCCGGGTTATGAAAAGGAGCAGAGCTCCAGAGGCTTACCTGAGGTCCCAGATGCGGGCCATGCAGTCCTCGCCTCCCGTGTACATCCAGCGGCCATCTTCATGGAAGCCAACAGAGGTGATGTTCTTGCTGACACCGTCGTAGTTGATAACAGGGTTTGGGTTATTGGAGTTCAAGTCATACATACGGATGTGTTGATAGCCTGGGCAAAAGACCCCCGAATTAGTTCATAGCTAGTTCAAAAGCACAAATTTGATCTTTGCACAGAATTTTCTGCAGAAAACTGGCAGAATAAGAACTCGTGTCAAGACCCACAAAAGATTAAAGCGGTCATTCTCCTTCAGCTGCAGTGGCAAGTATTAAGGAGATGGAGACAGCAAACTGAAATTTATTTTGGTTTGCTCATACTCAGGTAGGTAGGACCTACACCGGTGGGTTCAAAAGCAGGGTTTCAACTAAACTTCGGAGGTTTAAAAGCAAAGTTATTCTCTATTAGGAGTAAATGTCTTAGTGGAAGTTAGACTAGAATTATGAGGTCCTTTCCAGTTCTATGATTCTATGAACTGTAAGCAGTTTATCTTATTAACCAGGAATCCCTGTAACAGTAAATCCCAACACTATAAACAACAGAAGGGTCCCCTCTTCTGTGTCTGTCCTTTCTTCCTAGCCCTGCTCCCATCCTAACTGGAGAGCCAGTGTGGCGTAATGGTTAGAGTGTCAGACTAGGTCCTTGGAGTCCAGGGTTCAAATCCCCACTTGGCCATGAATCTCACTGGGTGACCGTGTGGGCCAATCACTGCCTCACAACCTAAGCTACCTCACAGAGTTGATGTGGGGATTAAATAAGGAGAGGGAGAACCATGGGCACCACCTTGAGCTCTTTGGATAAAAAGGTGGAATATAAATGTAATCGATCAACTCCAAATAAGGACAGGGGAAAGGAATGACCAGGGCAGTGGGATGGGGCATGTTGCATTTCCTTCACTTTACCTGATGATATGGCTGGCATCAACTAACAAGCATGGGGGTGGTTCTCTGGGCTGGAAATAACCTCCCTAGCTTCTCCTGAGGCCATAGCTTTGTGATCATGGAGAGAATTCCCTGTTAGATGTCTCACAATTCCTTGGCAGAGCCATCAGCATTACAGACATCATGCCCTTGGAGATACAAGGTTGGAAAGACAAGGTTGCACCTCCATGCTCTTGGAATAAGCCATACTTACCTGCAGCAGCAATCATGCTCCGATCTGGGGTGATCTCGAGAGCATTGACCTGCTGGCAAATGTGGTTAAGGAAGACAGAACAGGCTGGCCCACGTAGTTAAAGTGAAACACTAAGTAAGGTTAGCAGAGCCAAAATCCTGTTACAGCTGGCGCATCAAAAGGATACAGAATCTTGGTGCTGGACGGTCCGGGTGCATATCCCACTGTGGGCCTGCCAGAAGCGAACTGTGTGGTCATAGCCGGCAGTGGCCAAGATGACGGGGTCGCTGCCCACAGTGCCCTGTGCTGTGTTCATGGTCCAGGTTTCTAAGGACACAGAAAGAGAGAGGGGTCGGAGTCCCACCCATGTGGCTAGAGAGGAGATGCCCTACCTTCTCCCAAAGAGACACTGGCAGGAAGTGGGAGACTCAGCACTGCCCAGGAAGGAGCTGAGAGCTGACAACATGTCCACTAGCCACAATGGCTATGCTCTGTCTTCACAGTCAGAGGCAGCAATGCTTCTGAATACTGCAGCATGGGAGAGGGCTCTTGTGCTTGGTCCGGCTTGGGGGCTTCCCAGAAGAGGCATTTGATTGGCCACTGTGAGGACAGGATGCTGGACTAGATGGGCTATCGGTCTGACCCAGTGGAGCAAATTCTTATGTTCTTATGCTAAACTGACAAGCCACGCTCAAATCACACTGTTTTCCATGGAGTCACTGCAAGACTTTCTGTCTGCCTGCCTGCCTGTCTATGTATGTTGCCATGTCCCTGCATCTTTCAGAAGGAGGATGCAGGAATCTGAAAGAAACCCCAAGTGCGTGTGTAGACCCTTATTAAAAAACTGTTAGGAACCTGGATCAAATTTGTAGAGCAGAGCACACGCACTGGAGAGGGCTGGTAGGGTGAGGGTGGGTTCAAGCTATTCAGGCAATATGGATTAGCTCAGCCTTGAATTGCAATGTTTGTTGTTGTTTTTTCATTTTTATACAGCCCCCTCAATGCACACAGTACACTCCCCAAATATCAATAGTGACATGCAGCCGATCGCTGCTTCCCCCACCCACCCAAGGAGAGGTAACAAGGCAAGGAGTGATGCAGCAGCTGGAGTGTGTCTGACTAGTCCTGGGTTCAAAGCCCAGTTCTATCGAGTCCAAACCAAACAAGGCTCACAGCCTAGTTGTGACAATAAAATGGAAGGCTGGAACAGAGGGCACTTTGAGCTCCTCAGAGGAAAAAGGGCATCTAAATCCAAGAAGCAAATAAAATAAGTTTGGACCGCTGAAAGCAAACAAGAGGGAAAGGGTGAGCATTGCAAAAATTAAAATGCAACATAAATTAAAATAAATATTGGAATAAGAATGAAAACTTGCAATTATACATTATATTTTCATCGCAGAGCACTGTCTCTGATGCACAGAGGGAGATTCCCTGCCCCATTTATTGGGGACTGGCGGGTGGAGAGGGGGTGCGAAAAGGACGCTTACCTTCAGAACGCCAGATCTTGCCGGGTTCAAACTACGCTTGCGTCGGAAGAAATCAAAGGGCAAATACGCGCCTGCGCACAAAAGAAAAAAACCCAAAGTCTTACGTTTCTAGTGTCTTTTCATAGACTTGCCAAAATTATAGATACACATCAAGTATCTGACTTCCGAGTTCCTTTTTGTGAGGCCTACCCAAACAATGAAGAAAACCGGGATTTTACAGTGGAAACCTACACATGTCTACTCAAGCATAAGTTCCATGGGAGTTGCTCCCAGGTAAGTGTGTAGAAAAGCACGTCCTTCCCTCCAGCAACATGTTTCTAATACACTTTGGTGCATCTATGGACTCATCCTGCCTGCCGCCCAAGAAAAACTGCCCCTTCTGTTCATTTGCAGGAGGAACAGGCCGCAGCTAAAATGAAGCATGCGCAGTACGATCTGACAGAAAAAAACTCCAAGCAGCCTTCCCCAGCCTGGTGCTTTGCAGATTTTTGGACTACAACTCCCATTAGCCCCAGCCAGCAGAACCAGGTACGGTTCTGGGGCTAATGGAAGCGTGACCTGGCTGACTGAGGCTGGTGGGATTTGTAGTCCAAAACATCTGGAGGGCACCAGGCTTGGGGAAAATAGGTTTTATGGACATATTTTGACAGGCCATTGGTAAAGGCCGCCATAAAGCCTCCAGTAAGAGAGTTATCCTGGGACAAAAACTCCACACTCCCCTCCTGCCTCACACCCAGGAAGGGAACACTTTCATTCAGGAGCATGAAACCACTTTCACTTACACCAATCCAGGCCACATATTTTGAATTATGCTGTGACTTCACTTAATTGTATTAATTGCTTTGATGAATCTGTTCTTGTTGTGAGCTATATTTATCTGCTGCTGTGTTTGATATTGCAGCGACGGCAACACTCAGTTGGTTAGAATATGGTGTTGCTAACGCCAAACTTGCAGATTCGATCCCCCAGCTGCATTGCAGGGGGTTGGACTAGATGATCCTCAAGGTCCCTCCCAACTCCGCAATTCTATTATTCTATTTTTTTTTTTTAATGATATTTATTAAAATTTCAAAAGAAAGAGATCACATTAATAAGAAAATTAACAATAAAAAGAAAAATACAAAATACAAAGTACAAAAAAGAAAAAACAGTTAAAAACAATTCCATCTTTTCATCACTTCTTTTACGTTTACTTGTTTCCCGGACCTCCTCATACCTCCCTCTTTTGTATTCCAGTTCAGTTTGTTAGTCCAGCACTTCCTTTCCTCCTTTTTAATCCTGATCTTTAATCTTGATGTATTATAAAATTAAATTTTTACCTATTAAAAACCAATTTTTCCAATTCTTTTAACCATTACTGCTAGAAACCGCTTAACTTCAATCCGTCATCATTCTAACATTCATTAATTTTACAATATTTCTGTAAGTAGTCTTTAAATTTCTTCCAATCTTCTTTCACCGACTCTTCTCCCTGGTCTCGGATTCTGCCAGTCATTTCCGCCAATTCCATATAGTCCATCATTTTCATCTGCCATTCCTCCAGTGTGGGTAGATCTTGTGTCTTCCAATACTTTGCAATAAGTATTCTTGCTGCTGTTGTACGCAATTCTATTATTCTAATTGTCGCCGTTTTTTTGGTGCCACTTGGAACTCAACCTTTGCTGCTGGAAAAGCAGAAGTACGAGTATTACATCAAATCAAAACATCCAGCCTCTCACCTCAGAAATGGCCCAGGAAAAAAACCACAGCAAACCCCCAGAGAAATAGACAAACGACACCGCACAGAAACCTATGCACATAAAAAAACTAAAACAGGTGAGCTCTCTTTGCACCCCAAAGAGACAAACTCCTCTGGGGTCACCCCTGGTAGGTTGGCCTTAAATCCTCACTTCCCCAGCCCAGGTACAGCTTAAGGTGGGCAGGTTTGGCCTGATGTCTATAGTGCCAGGTGGGTCTAGGCCTGATGAAAATGACCTCCCAGAGACACCAGCCTCTTAGAGACACCTGCTTTCACAAGGGGAGCAGTACCTCTCCCCACTTTCCCTCTTCCAGACAGCTGCCTTTTCCCCACTTACCTCCTTCTACCGCAGCAGCACAATTTCAAAACCCAATTGTTACTCACCTTTTGGTGTCTGCTGCTAAATTCTGGGGAAACCTTCCCTTTGACAAATCTAAATTATTAGTAAAATATGGCAAGCAGCCTCGCTTGAAAAGATCTCCCCAGCGTTAAAAGGTTGTCAGGGGACAAAGCACACAGGACAATTTTTTGTGTGCAATTTGGCATCACTTTCTCTCCTGTGCTAATAAGGCAGAACATAATCATCCCATTGTTCCTCCAGTATACAGTATAGTCATACTTGGCTTCAATAAGAACAAAGCGAAATGACTCTCATGTTTTAGCACAATTGTGCATTTAACACCCCCTGGAATGATTTACATTGCTGGGGGTTTAAATTGCTCTGTGCTGCGTGTTGTAAATTTCAATTTGTTTCTACTTGTTCCTGTAGCATGGGAAGGCAAACTAAGGCCCAGGGGTCATATCCGGCCCAATCACCTTCTAAATCCAGCCCACAGACGGTCATGTTTTTACATGAGTAGAATGTGTGCTTTTATTTAAAATGCATCTCTGTGTTATTTGTGGGGCTTAGGAATTCGTTCATCCCCCCCCCCCCGCAAAATATAGTCCGGCCCCCCACAAGGTCTGAGGGACAGTGGACCGGCCCCCTGCTGAAAAAGTTTGCTGACCCCTGCTTTATAGTAAAAAAAAGCCACTTACAAATAATGACAATAGAATAAAAAAGAAACATGAAAGTCCTAGGGTAAAAAGGGAGTCAAGCAGGAGAGATTGTACTGAGAGATCAAGAGGGATAAGGATCTAGCTCCATATTGTTGGATATGGAGGTGAGGAGCTCGTCAGAAATTTTATGGAGGGCTGTTTCAGCATGCGCAGGGGGCAGAAGCCAGCCGAGTGCCCTCCAGATGTTTTCACGTTCTCAGCAGCCCCAGACAGTGTGCCTGAGAGGCAGTGTGGTGTAGTGGTTAGGGTCTTGGACTAGGACCTGGGAGACATGGGCTCAAATCGCCACTCAACCATGGGTGACTTTGGCCAGTTACCATCAGCCAGCACTAGCCTGCTTCACAAAGCTGCTGTCAGGATGAAATGAGGAATGGGGAGAAGGCCTTGAGGCCCATCTGTTCCTCCTTTGAATAAAAGTATGACTATTAATAAAATAAACGTATCACATCTACATGCCAAACTGAGCATGCTGTGAGTTGTTGTGGTTATTATGATTATTTTCAAAAGCCCCAAAGATTAAGTGTGCTCATACTGTTGGGTCACTGACCTGTGATGACTCTTTTTGTACACATAACCTAAAACATGCAGGGCTCGATTCTTGCCTGGCCTCAGCTCCTGAACCCTCCTTTTCCAGTCTTGGAGCTCAGCCTTGGAAAATGTGATGTGACACTACAGAGAAAGAGCTCCTGAGCATGTGTGGAGTGCCGTGTCTTCAGCTCACCACTCATACGTTGGATCAGTGGGTGCTGGCCCATTGGGGCAAATGGGGCACTGCTCCACCACCAGTCTTCCCTGCCCTTGGCCAATCCCTAGCTAGCTGCTTATTCAAAACCAGTCTAGAGGGTAGCACTGCCAATTTGCTTCCTCCTGCTCCTCCCTGCTGAGTTTACAAGGAGGATGAGGATGGGGACCGAACTAGAGTTGGCTTTGCCTGTCATTGGCTCTTGGTACGACATACTGTCGGGATTCTTGCACTCCACCCCATCATTCCCAATAGACACCAGCCATCACTGCATGGGGTCAAGGGCAAGGGAACCATGTGTGAGGAGATGGTGCCTTGAGCCCCTGCACCTGTCTTTTTGGAAATTGTATGACCCCCTCCTCAGGGCTTGGGTTGAGCAGCCCCAGATCCCACACAAAGGGCTATGGCTCAGTGTTTTATGGATCTCTTTGCCTGCAGAAGGTGCCAGGTTCAGTCCCCAATGGCATCTCCAGGTACGTCTGGGAGAGAACCATGAATGAAGTCCTGGAGAGCTGCTGCCAGTCAGTGCAGACAATACTGAGCTAGATGGACCACTGGTCTGACTCAAGATAGGACAGACCCCTAAGGCAGAGATTCAGTTAAGAGAGGGGTGGGAGATATCAGGGGCAGAGCAATCTGAAGTAGCTCCTTCTGTTCCACAAGCTTAGTGGCAGAGCCCCAGCTTTGCATGCAGAAGGTTCACAGGTCAGGCACCCCCAAACTCTGCCCTCCAGATGTTTTGGGACTACAACTCCCATCATCCCTAGCTAACAGGGGCAGTGGTCAGGGATGATGGGAATTGTAGTCCCAAAACAAATGGAAGGCCAGTTTTGGGGATGCCTGTCCTAGCAGCTGTCAAGGCCCTTTACAAATTACAATTCCCAGGAATCTTTGGAAGAAGCTGTGGCTGTTAGTGCTTTGAAGGTCTTGTATGGATGTGACCACTATCATCTTCCAGCTCCCTTCCCCTCCTCGCATTTGGCCCCCGACAGATGTTTTCGGACTACAAGCCCCATGGGAGTTTTTGGACTACAACTCCCATCCGGAGGGAGGCCAGGCAATAGGAACTGTAATGCAAAAACACCTGGAGGGCACCAGCTTCTTTTCTTCTTTTTTTGCGGGGGTGGATGAGCGAAGGCTGCTCTCTTCTCTGTCATAATGCTGCTCTTCCTTCACTGGCTGGCACCTCTCGCCCTTGCCAGGCGGCCTCGGGGCTTCCCTCCCCGCTCCTGCTGCTCGATGGGAGGGCGTCTCCTGGCTGCTCCGCCCCCGAACCGGCTCCCGCTGCAGGGCTGGGCGATGCCGGAGCGGCTGCTCGCGGCTGCTGGGCGCACCTGGCCGGGCCAGGTAGGAAGAGGCTGCCGGCAGGTGGAAGGGGCTCGGCGCGGCCGCTGCGTCTCCCCGCTGCCAGATCGGAATCCCAGGAGCGGCAGGTAAAACTACCTGGGCGCGTGGGTGGCATGCGGAGCGGGCAGCCGATGACGCGGGGTGGCGGGGGGCAAGGAGCTGAGAGGGGGGTCCCTCTCCCCACCCCTACCCCAGGATGGGGTGCAAAGAGTAGTCCCGGGGTGCTTCTGGGGGCACTGGGGCTGGAATAACCTTCCAGTGCCAGGCTTGGGGTGGGGGCGGGGGTGGTTGGCACAGGCTGCGGAGGCCTGTTTGGCGGTGCCATGACGGAGAGAGAGCTTGCCAATGCGCAGCTAGATGGCATTTAATGAGCGCAGGGCATGGAAGCTGGCAGGAGTCTGTGGGCACCACCAGCATAGGATGGCATGAGCAGGGGAGCAGGTGCTTCTGCCCGGTGGGGGAGGAAGGGGTTAATGGAAAGGGGGCACAGCTGCTGGCTATGGGGAGGCAGGCATTTGCCCCATTCCAACCGAGGTACTTAGTACAAAGGATCTATCTCTCAGGGAAGGGGGCAAGAAGGTTGGAGGAGGAAGTGTTTTGGGGGGAGGCTCTGGCGTGCCACCAGCTTATTGTGGCAGGAGGTTGGTTAGAATTGATTTCCGTTTTGCCCAGATCATGCAGAGAGGGGTTGGGGGTGGGGGTGGAACTGTCCTGCCAACTGCATCTGCTTCCTGTGCCCTATATCCTCTATATCCCCAACAACCTTGGAAGAGGCCTGGTGCATAACAGAAAGCAGGAGTCCTTTATAATCTAAAGCATTCTGATCATCATCACATTATTATCTTTAAACTACCACCCTCCCCACAGATTAGCAAAGCTGGCTTTGGCACCTGCAAGATGACTTCAAAAGATATTCAGACTTGTCTCGCTGTCCTGCCTTCTAGGAAAGGCGACGGGGAGGGGCTTGGGACCGGCAACCAGGGACCTTGGCATTGTTCTAACAAACTCCCTATATGTTGGGGGGGGGGGGGAAGCAGGGAAGGAAGTGCCATGACAATTAATCTAGAATTCAACCAGTTTAATTGATGTAGATGCACTCTCAAACGGGCACGCTGCAGCCTGGGTGCTTGTTGGCCTTCGTCTTATGCATCCTGTAAGAATAAAGTGCTTGGCATTTGGATATAAGATTACTGTATAGGTGCAGTGCTTTCCCCCCCCGGGGGTACGCTGGGATACGCATACCCCTAAACATTTTGTGAATCTTTGTACTTTTGTCCACTTACTGTATTTATTTCCCCCCGATTTGAACTACAAAATGGTGATTTTCTTGAGTCAAAATGAGAGTACCCTTAAACATTTTTTAAAGAAAAAAAGCACTGTATTATAGTCTGTATTATACAGACACATGCACACTCCCCACCCCCACCCCGTGTGAGACACAGTTGGCTCTGTCTTTTTTATCGGAGGAAGGTTAGTCAAGGAAAGCTGGGGGGGGGGAGGTGTTTGTGTGGTTTGTGCAAGTGTGTATCTGTTTTAATTATTAATCTGTTCTTTGGTCTCCTGTGTTTGCTGACCTTGTGAGGAGGTTCCCAGCTGTGCGCAGAGTGCTTTGGCTGGGCCCCTCATAATGCTTGGTTCTGTTAGACTGGGGGGGGGGGGCGTATATGGAAAAGGGTGCACCATGCCCACTGGCAACTCCACACACCCCTTCCGGGCCCACTACAAAGTCCAACATAATGTGTGGGGCAAGGGTATGGGGCTGGTCATTTTTTAAAAAAGCAAAAAAGGTGCCGGTATTCACCATGGAGTTACAGTGACACACGTTTAACCTTTCTAAAAAAAATAAAATAAATAGAGATACATAAATAAAAATGCTGGTACTGTGTAACCTTGACTGAGTACCCCTGGAAAAAAGCACTAGGGCTTGGAAGGAAGACCCTGGGGATGAGGGCTGCTGGAGATTCTTGGCTTCAGAGGAAACAGCAACTGCAGCACAGCAGCTCCTGCTGCCCCCCCACCCCACAACGGTGGCAACCAAGCCCATTGATATAGCAGTGGGTAACAATAGAGTTAAATATTGTTTCCAGTTGCTGTGGGTGGCAGCCAAGCCTCCGCCCTTCAGCTTAATCTTGAGGTTACTTTCATTTCCTTGTGGGAGAGCCTGTTCACCAACGAGCATCCTCTGGTTCTGGGCCTGCAGAGTGGGTAATGTTCTCTTATCTGCCTATATAAAATGTAAGATTGTCGCCTCACCCAGCAGTTTGCACCGCTGCTGATAGGTAGTTTTGTGTGGCCACCCACCACATGTGGCGATATAAGATGGGGGGCAGAGGCGCTTCATACGGCAGTTTAGCAAGCCGCTCTGTGGAGCCTCTTCTCCTGAAACGTCCCTGCAAGCGTGTTTAACGAAGAAGTACGAGGGCTTGCTAACTCACTGTGGGAAGCACCTCATCCCCTCCTTTAAAAAGAGCTTGTTTGGGGGGGGGTGAAATGGTGAAACTTACTGGAAGAACAGGAAAACAAGAAGAGAGGCTTTTAAAAATAGAATGAGGAAAATGTATTGATTACTTGAAGATATACTGTAAACAAAGTAAAACCTTTACCAGGATTGATATAAACACGTGCAGTAAGAAATGATTACTGTATTTTTCCGTCTATAATACTATATTTCCCCTCTATTTTTTCAAGTTTGAAATGGTGGAGGGGGTGTCATCTTATACACGGATAGTGCATATGGGGTATTTCTTTATTTGGAGTCCCCAAAAATAGGGGTTGTGTTATACCCGGGGGAGTGTTATACACTGAAAAATACAGTAAATAGGAAAGATAAGGAAAAAATTAAGTAAATAGATTTGAACAGGATACGCAGCAATGAAAAGATATAAATTAAGCAACTGCAGAAAGAAGGAAAGTCAAGGGAAATGTAAATTGAATTTGTAAAGATTTTGTTTTTCTAGTTTAAAATATTTGAAAAAAATTGTTTTTTTTTAAGGGCTTGTGATGAGCTGTGGGGGGATGGATGGGGAAGATGTAATGGGTTTGATTAGGAATGAGGGAAAGTTGGTTGGCAAGTGAATTGCGCAGACTCAGCAACCTCTAGTAATAATTATAATAATTTATTATTTATACCCCGCCCATCTAGCTGGGCTTCCCCAGCCACTCTGGGCGGCTTCCAACAAAATATTAAAATACAGTAATGCATCAAACATTAAAAGCTTTCCTAAACAGGGCTGCCTTCAGATATCTTCTAAAAGTCTAGTTGTTGTTCTTCTCTTTGACATCTGGTGGGAGGGCGTTCCACAGGGCGGGTGCCACTACTGAGAAGGCCCTCTGCCTGGTTTCCTGTAACTTGGCTTCTCGCAGCGAGGGAACTGCCAGAAGACCCTCAGTGCTGGACCTCAGTGTCTGGGCAGAATGATGGGGGTGGAGACGCTCCTTCAGATATACTGGACCGAGGCCGTTTAGAGTATTGTTAGAACTTAGCCGTCTAAAGTATTGTTAGAACGTAGCAACAGAGGTGGAAAATACAGCATAGCTGGAAACAAGCACCCTCTCCGATGGTCCAAAGCCTGCTAGAGCAGTCCCGACAAGAATGCCTCCCTTCCAGGACAAATAGGATAGTTCGTGTTGTGTGTGTGTGTTGTTGTTGTTGTTGTTGTTTGTTTGTTTATTAGAACCACAACCTATGCAAAACCTCTTCCCTCATTTGGCTGCAACAAACTACCAGCATAAAATAAAACCAAATAGGTCTGCACCATCCATTTTAGCCTTCCGAATATTGGTGGACTCTTAATTCCTATCAGCCCCATGCAGCATCAGGGATGACGGGAGCTGTAGTCCAACAAATATATGGAGGGTTGCAGTTGCCTCATCCTGGGTCAAAGCCTGAAATAGCATTCATTATATAAAAGAGAGAGAGAGAAGAGAATACAGCACATCATTCATTGGAGGGGATTGGATTAAACGACCCTTTTTGGCCCACGTCAGCTTCCATTTTTCTTGGGCATGTATTGGTGGGGAAAGGGTTAACCTCTCTCTACACACCCCAGTCCTGATTTCCCTCTGCCCCCCTCACTACTTATTGGTGTTTGTGTGTTGCATTAAAAATAAATAAATCTAAGAATGACAACATTGCAAACCCCCAAACAAACTTAATTGACTCCTTCTCTCCTTACAAGAATGAAGTGTACCAGATACACCCTGCCACGGTTGGGCCTTCACTGTTGGCATTTCTACATCTGAATCATTTTCTAATACGCACGTCATAAAGGCATACCACCGTTCAAAAAAATCATTTTCTGCTCGCCGCCCGTTCAGTGCTTTTGACTGTTTAGTCAGCTTTTCCATTGTCCCAACTTTCTGTCTCCAAATGGATAACTGCAAATTATCCTAACCCTCCCAGTTTTGAGCAATCAATTGAGGAGCTGCAGTAGCCAGTTGCTGAAAAGGGAAAAAAGTAGACACTTTAAATGTAATCAGGCATTTAATGGGGTCATTTGGTTTGGCCCTTGTCTCAATGTGGGATGGAAGAAGTATGAAACGAGGCTCCTCCCGATGACTTATTAATCGTGCACTCATCCAGAGTTCCTTGCACTAAGTGAACAGGGAGGTTAGATCATTTATCCAGTCCTCTGTGTTTTTATTATTCTTATTATTTTCATTTATATATCACTTACTATCTAAAACAGTGGGTGGTGGGATTAACTCCTAGAGACCTAGACCATAAGTAGGCAAACTAAGGCCTGGGGGCCGAATCCGGCCCAATCACCTTCTAAATCTGGCCTGTGGACGGTCCGGGAGTCAGTGTGTTTTTACATGAGTAGAATGTGTCCTTTTATTTAAAATGCATCTCTGGGTTATTTGTGGGGCATAGGAATTTG